GGGGGGGGGGCAGGCTTACATAGTAGTACAGAGGTACCGTGCTGATCTTTGCCGCGGCGCGTTACAGATAAGATTGCCAAAAAGGAAGTTCCATTGCCTACACACTTGGATGTCTACAGTATAATTGGCTTGTACGTATACGTATGGAGGAGCAAGTGTGAGCGGTGCATTACCAACGTTACACATGCGTATAATTGATTACCGATGTATGAGTTTGTAGGATGCTCCGTCAGCCTGCCTGCCGTTTGAAGCTGCTTTTGTTTACCTAGGTATGAGATACCGACCCAGGTAACTAAGCTGCAACGTGGGATGGGTAATAATAATACCATGGACAGTGTTGAATTCCACGCCCTGGTTATTCATTACGTAGACGAAGAATCCATCACCCACATACACACCGGCCCGCAACATTGAACCATAAGAGTGCGCCCATTGCGGCGCCAAGGGAAATGCTTTGTAAAATACATACCGTGAGGATCAGCCACCCCGGCGCCGTCAAACATGTCGACACACTGGACTGGCAAAGATGCTCCTTCGTATGTACTCTGTCATCCAAGCCTCAAGGTGAGATTGACGGCCGCGGCCGCATGCATGCATGGCGCACGGCTTAATGCAAGGGGTACATGCAGTTTATATTTAAATTCCCTCCTCCCCCGTCATTTGGTTGGTACCAAGATACCTACTTACGGCAGTGTCGTATATGGGTAAAGCCAGCCAGCCAGCCCTAGCTGGTCCGCAAATGGTAGTACTAGCATTGCTGACGGATCGTGACTGGCGTCAATGGGTAGGTAATTTGCAAATGGCGGCGACGAACCCCCGGAGCGAGAGCCGTGTAAAATAAAAGCCCCCGGGTTGACGGACGGTAGTTAGGGACCGATGGGTTCAAGTTAGTGGATTCATGTCCTGGCAACAACAAGCCTTGCTCTTCAATGCGAATGAATGCATTCATCTTATCACAGTCCATCATCATCCATCGATACCCGGGCAAGAGTAGCGATAGGGCCCAAAGTCAGTCAACCAGTCTGTTAGAACCTAATGATTGACCACTGTGCACATAGTTGGGAGAGTTTTCTAATGTCCAACCAAGTCAGAGAATATGATTGACTGACTGTGCGCCTGAATCCTTGTCCCGATCCTCGTGTCTTTCCCCCCCTCTTCCCCTTCCCGCCCCCATCCCATATGGGAAAGTCAGTGGTAATTTCACCCGTACGTACTGTGTAAGCTCAGTTTGCCAAAAGCACAGCCGCAAAAGGCAGGAATTCATCCCTGCCTACCCGCAACATACAGCAAACCAACCTGCACACACACAAGTCGTATGCCATCATACCTAATAAGCGGTACCTTTTCTTTTTCTTATTTTTTTCCCCCCTCCCCTTCTTCCATTCTTTCTTTTATAAGGGCCTTTTATTTTCTGTCCCTCGCTCCACTCCCTTGACTACGAGACATGAGCTCCTGAGAAGCATACAGTAGTTACTAGTACTTCAACTTCTTCCCTGCCCAAATTTTTTTTTTTTTCAATAAGATTCGTTTGCTCTCAACGTCGGCAGCATTCTAGTTTTCTTCATCGATAGTACATGTAGCCAGCTCACCATGAAATCTATCCACCTGTCATTCTGCGGCCTTTTGGCTGTCGTCTCGGCGGCAAATTGCACCCACAAGCTTCGCAGTATCGTCTATTTTGACCAGTCAGTACCTGAGCCAAACCATTCCAGGGACCATGTTCCAGTCTGGAATCTCACTGACCAGTGCTGTATGATAGATATCACACCACAGCACTACCGTCCAAGGATGTGACGGCTGGTATAACCCATGTTGTCATGGCGTTTGCCAATTCCTCCCTATTCATTGGCGATACCGCTGGGGAGTATACCCCATTCATGGAGGTTGACCAAGTGCGCTCCATGTTTGACGCAGACGCCCAGATTGGAATTGCCATTGGTGGCTGGGGGGACACGACTGGATTCGGCGAGGGTGCCAAGGATGAAGCATCCCGAACGGAATATGCATCAAATGTGGCAGCCATGTTGGACTCGCACGGCTTTGACTTTGTCGGTAAGTAAGAAAAGTGAGCTGCAAGAAGAAGAAGAAGAAAAAGGGGGGAGGGGGAGGTGGTGGGGAGGAGGAAGAGAGAAGAAGGGCCCCAAGTGTCACCGCTAATGTTCTTATCCAGATGTCGATTGGGAGTATCCGGGAGGCAACGGAGCCGACTACAAGCAGATCCCCAACTCGGACAAGGTTGACGAGATTACCACATTCCCTCTGCTGCTCGGCGCCATCAAGGCTGCCATTGGCAACAAGGCATTGTCCATTGCTACCCCGGGCCTGGAGAAGGACATGATTGCCTACACCCCCGAGCACGCCCAGCAGATCTGGGACGCAGTAGACTTTGTCAACGTCATGACCTATGACTTGATTACTCGCCGTGACAACGCCACCAAGCACCACAGCGATGTCCACGGCTCGCTTGAGTCCATCGAGCGATACTTGTCACTGGGTCTGACTGCCGATAAGATCAATCTCGGCCTCGCCTTTTACGCAAAGTACTTCCAGACGCAGCCCGGTGTGAACTGCACCGAGGTTGGCCCAGTTGGCTGCCCCCTCGTCAAGGCTGAGAACGATGACGGCAGTGACGCTGGAACGAGCGGGGCCATTACTTTCGAAACTGGCAATGTGAGCCCGACTGTGCCCACCAACCTGACCTCGAGCGCCGACGGCACCTGTGGCGTCGGCACCTTTTCCTCGTGCCAGGACTACGCCGATGGCACATGCTGCAGCTCATCCGGCTACTGTGGGTCAACCAGCGCTCACTGCGGCGCCGGCTGCCAGTCTGCCTATGGAACTTGCACAGGCCCATCTATCTCTGATTCCTTCCTCGACGCCCTCGAATATGGAGTGACAGACGAGGCTGCCGGCGGCCAGTGGTGGTGGGATGAGGAGGCCGAGATCTTCTGGACCTGGGACACGGCTTCTCTGATCCAGCGAAAGTTCCAGGACATTGTCGCCGCCAAGGGTCTGGGTGGTGTCATGGCTTGGTCCTTGGGCGAGGACAGCTATGACTGGAGTCGCCTTACTGCCATGGTGCAAGGTGTTAAGAACCTGTCGAGATAGACTGGTCCTTGTTTGTGTTTCACGTGTTACTAGACGTGTTCGTTTCTATGTATATAAATAACCCTTGTCAATGGTTTGAACATGGCACTGGCCGCCCTTTCATTCGCACCTATCTCCAGGGACACCAGAGTGAATAATCAAACAAGTGACGCATGGGCGCTGCGAAGTGGTGGGCATGATGTAGCTTACTCAAGTCTCACTTGCCAGATGTTGGAGGGTGTCCCCTCTCCAGTGCGACTATACTGCTAATCGAGGCCAGCTACCATATCGCCGGCCTCTTTTGTATCAAACACGCGCGTGACCTTGCCGGTCAGACACGACGAATGAGCCCAATATCCTGGGGTTGCAAGGGAAGAGCCTATTCCTTCTCTAAGTCCCGTGATATTGCTGCTCCGGACTCCGCCACCCAAGATGATCTCCATCCTGTTACCCGCCTTCTCCAGTATTTGGACCAACCTCGGGATGTTGTCCACGGCGTCTCCAGGCCCTCCCGAGGTCAAGATGCCGTTGAAGCCCAATCGGACCAGTTCCTCCAATGCTTCCTCCCACACCTCATGTCGCACCAGCTCATCAAATGCCCGATGAAACACAAACTTGAATGGCTTCGCGGCCTCGGCAAGTCGGCTGCACTGACCGGCATTCAAGACTGTCCCAGCGTGTGCATGGCCATCAGGTTGGCCTCTTGCCTGTTCTCGGTCGATTTCCGCAAGTGCTCCAAAGACGAATCCATCACCTCTTCCTTCCTCCATGAGCCCAGACGCTTTGAAATCGCGAATAGACTGTTCCATGGCCTTCACTTCCGACTCGGTGTAGATAAAATCACAAGCGCCGCGAGCGGGAGGCCCGCGAGGCCGTATCATGATGCGAATGGGTATTCCCAGGCCCTCTAGAGAAGAAAGGTCCCCAATCACTGGAGTGAGCCCTCCGGCTGGATACGATCCCTTGCTGTTTAGCTCCAAGCGGGATGCCCCGGCCGAGACGGCGGCACTGGCAAAGGCCGGGCCGAATATCGGCACTTCCAAGGGAATGGTCATGATGTTAATAGAGTATACGTATATACTTTTATGCACTAGCTGGGGACGACTGGCAAGGTACTTGACTTTGGTCTGCTGTCCGAGTCCAATTGTGATGCTTGTTTGGAAATGTCGTATCGATAAAATGAAGATGCAACTTGACAATTTCGCACGATCACAACCGTCAAGTTGGAGATTAGCTTAGTAATCACGGGACCCAGAAACTATGATCCTTTCCACCCCTCCTCATGTTCATCAAGTCGATGCCTTGCAACAAATTCAACAGCAGCACACCTCGTAGTCATAAATATAGTATTCTCGCTGCGTATGAAGGCGTTTTTTCCCCCCCACAAGTTCATGGCCACTGTAATGTCTGTCCATGAAGTCAATTTGCTACGAAAGTAACTATCGCATGAGCCCCTGGTGAGTTACCAGACTTGTCATAGTAAGTGCACCGCCTGGATCCGTCTCTGTGGTTTTCCTTATCAATTCCGGGCTTTCTTTCTTTTTCATTTTCTCTTTCGGGATGTCCCGATTCCCTTCCTGCTTCCTCTATCGTAATTCTGAGCCACCAAGGGCGACACGCGTACCACTTATATCTGCCATGATTTAGGTAACTTGGGTCTCGAGGGAGTGTGTCACGGGCCCTGCAAAATCCTGGAGGCGTGATTGAGAGATACGAGAGCAGAAATGATTCCTGGCCTGGTGCCGATGGTGGTGATTTAGAACAGCATGATTGAGAGAGGGGGTCTCCGATAAATATCAGCAAATAATATCATCGCATTGAAGGCCCATGTGTAATGATGGCCCTCGTGACTGTACTGAACTCGCAAAGGCGGCTGTAAATTTGCAGGAACACACCACCCGTGTTCTCATGCCAACGACGCGACTAAGGGGCATATCTCTTAGGCTGGGGCTCTTTGAGGACTTGGTCGTCACGAGTCGGGTGTTTAGAGGAGGGTCCAGATGAGGCCTTGGCGGTGTCGGAGACATCGAGGTATTGGCGAGGCACGCCAGTGAAGATGACGATGCTCGAGGTCTTACTGAGGTGAGAGTAACAACTCCTGGCTTGGACGGGACCGGAATAACCCTCTCGATCGTTGCGCGGCGCAAACGCTCTTGGAGGTGAACGTGAAGCTTGATTGGTCTTGAGAAGTGCATGGTCGACCAGACCTAGAACGATGCAGTGGTCAGGCGCTATTTGAAGCAAGCGTATGAGATATAAACACATTTCTCGAGGTGACCTCCATCAAGCCAACTCGGCGGTAAAAGGTTCCGACGACATGACTACTTACCGGCGGACTTCAAGAACTTGCGTACATATCTTCCAGCGTTGGGTGAGACTCGCTCCAATTCAATGTTCTGAAAGTAATGTTCGACTAGGCGCGTATCGTTAGCATAGTCGGACCCTACTGTGCTCTCTGGGATAATGAAAAGAGACTTGTTGTACACAGTAGTTACTGCTCGAAAACATCTAACAGGTCACACTACTTACAAAGCATCGTGCCGGTATATTGGCGGCGAGCATCATCTCCCATCGCAGTCCCCATCTCCGTAGCGAGGTCCGCCCAGGACTTCTCTACGACGTCTTGCTGGGCTTCGGATTGCTGGTCCGCCGGGGGGTTGATACGCTTGACGGACTGGGGCATGGTAACCCTCCAGAAGTACCGCTCCTCTTGATCTGACCAAAGTTTGCCTCCCATGGTTGCGGTCTTGGTTTGTTCTGGGTGTCTGTTTAGAGTAATTGGGAAACTGCAAACGGTTACTGATATAGCAAATAAATGCCCTGGGCTTTCCAGGTTGTAGGCAACAATACTGGAGCTAGGAATGAGGAGGGAAGGTGTTGTTGGGTCAGCTGTAACAGGTACCGAGCAGGTTCCTTCTTTGAAACCCAGAGGACAAATGCCGAGACGAGGCAGTCAGTCCTGCGGGTTGTATTGTCCGGGATCAGGAATCAATCAGTGAGTAAGATGGTGGAAGCTTTGGACCTGTAGAAGAAAGAATGGAAGTGAATGGCTGCGGCTGGCATCTGCAAGACAAGGGCTCGTGATCCAGTGATTTGAGAAGATAGTCGGACCTTCCACACCTGCCTGCTGCTTTCTGCATCGAGATATATCAGATGAATCCAGTCGACGAGGACATTACTCGACCAGGAGATACTTGTAATGCAACCAACCACTGTACGACTATCACGGCATTAATGTTTTCCCTGGCCAACTACTCTGCAATGGTCACCTTGATTAGAACAAGTGAGCAAATTTCTTTCATATAGTGCCCTACCTGCGTACAACAAAGAGGTCCAAACGCCGATCCGATGGGCATCCGATGCTCAGTGTGAGGACTCCGCCTTGAAATTTACTTTTTTTTCTTCCCCCTTCCCCTAAGATGAAACCCAAACTTCAGCGTCTGGGATCTACGGAAATGTATAGATATATTGTGAATAACTACTCAAAGGGACTAGAGGGGTCCGGTGCCTTGAATCCTCGAGCGTGGAGGAAAGCAGCCATGCGGTACTCGAATTTCGTGAACTAGGAAAGCGATTAGCAAAGGCCAAGGTCTGAAGAAGTGAAAGTAGGCAGGGAACAGTATACCATGCTCTTTTCTGCCAGAGGGGCCACACCGTTCCTGATCCAGATACCTCTGCTGCCCATCATGTTGGCAAGCATCATATCCGTCATCAACCGATCACCAATGACTACGACTTGGCTTGGGTGTGTCACGCCCACCTCTGGATGTTTCCGGAAATGCGCCATGATCTCATCCTTGCACCCAGGCTTCTTGACTCGGTGAGAGAGGACGGTCACGCCCGTGGCAGATTCGAGCTCTCTGGCCAAGCGCCCGTCCCGATCGTGGCTAGTAGCCCCTGCCGTGTTGGACACAATGACGAGGCTCTTGCCGGGGAATTCCTCTTGCAGCTGTCGGAAGCGCTCCTGTTATAAGCAGCGAGTCAAGATTTGTCATGAGAAACACGAGGTATACTGGGTACGTATTGATACCGAAATCAATGCCATCGGCCCCCTTCGTCTTTGATATGAAGAAGGAGTTCCAGGCTTTAGATGCAGACGACAACTTTGGCTGCTACTTACAGTATATGGTGGGTGTACAATGTTGGTCTCTGGATATGCAAAGCAATCATCCTTATCTAGCACTACAGCCTTGATCTGCAGCTGCTTCTCACCTTGGCCTTGAAAGGCATTTCTTAGGGGATATGGGAGATCGCTGAACTGGGAGACGGTCGCATGGGGCAAGCATAGCGAAGGTTTTGCCAGCAGCTTGAACACATTCAAGGAGCCCGAGAGGTTGAGATTCATGGCCTGCAGGTGGTTAGGGTAGATGGAGATGAGTTGATGAGTGCCTCAGCCGTGAGGAAGCGAGCGTACACGGTATTTGACGAATGACTAAAGCATCAAGGCGAGTATCATCAAGGTATCGCAAGATAATGTTGATGCCATACAGATGGACACATCTAGTGTGCGCCTAGGAAATTTAGTTGACGGAGTCGAGGCAATGCACGATTAAAAAAAAACGGTACTGGCTCCACCCGACTTATTGTGAGCATCTTAACGCACGTGTGGTACAGTAAGACGTGCAGTGCAGTTAGTGCCTACCGTTAACCTGCCGTATGCACTCCGTACGATTTGGACACAAAAGCACGTTTAGCGTTGAGTCCCGACGGGGCAAGACAGGCACACCCCTAGGTACCTCCCCACATGGGGTTTGGAGATGAGGTACCTGGACCAGACGCGTCGGGACTCAATGTAAGCTTGACGCGCCTCGTGGAGCCCGCCAAAAGGGCCTGTTAGGTAAGGTACTTGTTGCCGTTTACGTTGACCCTATTTTTTTTTTCTCTCTCTTCTTCTCTCTCTGAACCACTTAGGAGATTCCCTGAGACGGACAGATCTAGTTGGTGCAGTGATGTTTGTTCGCTCGGTACCTTACATCTTGATGGAGTCCACAGTCGCTTTGTTTTTGATCCATGTCGCTGGTCTGGTATAGGTAACATTCTTGAGCAGACCCCCATTTATTGGTAGACTCGTTAGCAACTTGATCACACATCGGCCCCTACGTCAGACCTGCCAACTCAAACCCTGACCTGACTGAGTCTGAAAGGAAGGATCCAAAGTGAGGTAAAGACACTGACCCGTCACAATCTACATGCACATGTCGGGTTGTGGCAATGGCGCCACGGAAACAGCCTGTCGCCTCGGCAAGACTAGCGAAATCGTCAACGCACAAGACCACCACCCATCTAGAAGCTCCAGCTAAAGATGACCTGGACAGCCAAACAGGAGATGTTGCTCAAAACCTACCCGTCAAACGGAAGCGAGGCCGACCAAGTGCAGCATCACGCCTGCAGCACAACGCCGCAGCTTCACAAAAATCCGTCTACGATGTTCCATCAGACGATGACGACGTTGTCACAGCTGCTTCCCAGGTCTCGGTAGGAACTCCACGGAGCCGCAAAGTCAAGCACAGTATCGACACCACTGCCACCGTAACGGCAGGGACTATAGCAGAAGATGAATCCAGAACGCCACGGAAAAGGAATGCGGCTGGCTCAAAGGCAGCAGTGACGCCCTCGCAAAAGGAACAGCCCATTCTCCATGGAGAAACGCCGAGGTGGAGGAGAAACGATCGTTCTGCCCGCAAAAAGAGCGCCCGAGCGCTCATTGAGAGCGTGGTCCAGGGCAATGCAAGCGATGAAGACGACGACGATGATGACCGAGGCATTGCCAGGGAGATTTACGAGTCTAGTGACGAGGAAGACGACGAGGAAGGCGATGCCGAGGACGCTGAGATGCAGCTTGAGGAGGCTATCGATGATCTTGCCGCCACTCCCTCCAAGCAGCGTCGTGGCCGAAGAAAGGGCTCATCCACAAGAGCGAGGAAGAAATCGCCAACGCCTCCACGAGACCTTCCGCCCCAGGAACTGTACTTTGCCCAGAACCGCCCTGGAGGATCCAAAACCTCGGGCAATAGTCTGGCTTCACTCCAGCTGCTCACTCATGAGGAGTACTTTTCGCTGTGGAATGACTATAGAGATCCGCACCACGAAGATGTCGAATTCTTACAGGACCTACACGCCGACTCTTTTTCGCAGTGGGCGTTTGAATTGTCCCAAAACTTTAGCATTTGCTGCTACGGCTTTGGTTCGAAGCGACCTCTGCTGCACAAGTTTGCCAAGTTTTTCTACGACGCCTCTGCAGACCACATCAACCACAAGATAGTCATGGTGAATGGCTATGTGCGGAACACGTCGATCCGCGAAATCCTCGGCATTGTGGGCAGCGCAGTCGACCCAGCATATAAACCACCAGCTGGTAATCCTTCGGCCATGCTGACTGACCTGAAGACGCTTCTCTCTTCGCACAAGGTCTGCATCACCATTATCATAAACTCCATTGATGCTATACCGCTACGTAAACCAGGTATGCAGGCCATACTGGCCCAGCTGGCCGCGCATTCCAAGGTCCAGTTGGTTTGCTCAGCCGACACCCCCGACTTCACTTTGTTGTGGGACAGTGGTCTGCGGTCCGCCTTTAACTTTACTTTTCACGACTGCACAACCTTTGCTCCGTTTGCAGCCGAAATTGATGTCGTTGATGACGTCCATGAGCTCCTCGGGCGCAAAGCTAGACGAGTAGGAGGCAAGGAAGGTGTGGCATATGTGTTGCGCAGTTTGCCAGAAAATGCAAAAAGCCTGTTCAGATTGTTGGTGACGGAAGTCCTCGTTGCCATTGATGAGGAGGGGTCGTCTGCAGGCGAAAATCCTGGCGTCGAGTACAGGATTCTGTACGGAAAAGCAGTGGAGGAGTTTATTTGCAGCTCCGAGGTGGCTTTCCGTACTTTGCTCAAGGAGTAAGTACCACGCGGCCCAAGATTTGTTTTTGTTTTTATCCCCTTCAAACGACGAAAACCATTGACCACCATGACAGATTCCACGATCATCAAATGATCACAAGCCGGAAAGACGCCCTAGGCACTGAATTGCTGAGCGTCCCGTTTAGTAAGGAGGAACTTGAAGCTATTCTCGAAGATCTCATGGCCTAGATAAAGACTATATACTCGACCTCTTACGTGGGACGAGCCGTTGAGTTAGCAACTAGTACCTAGCCAGCACCTCAGCCAACCTGTACCTGATGTTACATGATACCCACTTTGGCCCCTTTGCTATCGGCGCTTCGATACCATATACCATGATTTATCACACCATGACTCGATGGTACAAGCAGTACTTGATTGCTGCGGTCAATCAACATCTTTCATCAACTCACTCTTCTCATCCAACTCTGTCCACTTTGGTTTCCCGTCGGGAATATCCAGGACTCGCCTTGAATAGAAGATGTGCATGCTTTAGAGAGCTATTGTTCAGTGCTGCTTGAGAAGAGGGGCAAGGACTGGGTGGTGACCTACGTCGGCTCGAAGCTCTTCTTTGCTTCTTGGTTTTTGAACTTGATAATGGCAGGGAACATGAGAACCATGTTTCGCCCCTCGTCCATGATGGGTGCGTGGCAATATGCGCAGCTCACTTTGCAGGGGAGATCATGATAAGTGTGCTTCTTCTCAGAGTGGTAAAAGGCCAGCCCCTTGGCGCCGTTCTCAAAGTGTAGGTCTTCCTTTTTGAAGATGGCCGCCCACTGCAGGGGAGCACCTGAAATATGTAGTTGTTAGCAAACCCCCGGCCAGGATTGAACTTGATGTGTTTGCATGAAAATCAACAATGGACAGAAACGCAGGTGATATGGTCATGACCTACCATGCAAACTCTGGCAGTCCTTGCAGTGGCAGTACTTGCTGGCGATTGGGGCGTCGCGACTAAGCCAATATCTGATCCTCCCACAGTTGCACTCGGCTGTGTGCTTCTTGTCAAAATGCTCATTCTCATTCGAGGTGCGATAAGGCGGCTGGTCACGCCACTCGCCGCCATCCTTTTGCTTCTCCTCCTCCTCGTCCTCGTGAGTAGTGGTTGTGTCGTGTTTCCCCCGACTCTCGTGGTCGGTGCCCCGGGGGTAGGGATCTCCGTCCGCCTCCCCAGCGATTTCAGACATCTCATGAGGCTCCTGTTCGAGGTGCTCATTGGCATTTGCCGACAATTTCTGCTTCTTGGCGGGTGAGGGTGACATGGCGTGAGGGCGGCTATTTGTCGAAGGTGCTATGGTACTATCAGAGGAGCCGTCTGCGATCCCGACTCCGGATGCAAAGAGACGGGGCAGAATGTATGGGGCTTGTGATGCGTATGTCTTTCTACGTCCAGGTGGGTATGAATCCAGGAGGAAGAAGTTCAATGAGATATATATTTTCTTATAGAGGGATCCAATGTTGCTCGTAACAAGTAGTCGCACTGTCTTGAAATCATCAAAATGCCCAGGTCCAGCCTCGACTGGGTATTGTAGGTAAATATAGAGGTAGTCACGCGACCAGCACCCAAGTGGCAGGATAGGTGCATGTTCATTACAGATCGAGGTGTCATTCAATTTAGCGTTGGTCCCTTAAAATCCCTACAACAATAAACCCAAGTATGAAGATCCATCCATGTTTGTGGGTTGTCTCAAGCCCGCTTACCGAAAACTGCTGGGCCAGGGTGAATCGGTACTGCGTATATGGATACCTATACATATGTAACCGGGAGAAAAGACTCCGGGGCTAGTACACCCGAGACTGTACAGAGAGGTAGGTAGGCATAGTATATTTCGGTGAGTCTGCAAAATTAATGTTAGCTAGGCGGTTAGGGGGGTAAAGAAGAAGACACTGTAGGTAGAAGATGACGTCCTTGAACATATTTTCCTGCAATTGACTTTTTTTCTCTATTTTCTTTTTTTTTCCCTGTACCCTCTGTATGCGGGCCTTTCAATTTGTCGTCGTCAACATTATGTCATCCATGTTATGATTAGGTATATTTTATGTCTAACGGCGTAGCTCCAGCCTGACGCTACCAGCGCAGCATAATGTACGTATGTATGCACGGCACGGTACTGGTGACTCTCCAAAGGGCCGCAATTATGCTTACTCACACTGTTCTGATGCATGGAAATATATCATCGTATCGTATATAAATTTTGCAGGAGATACTCTACACTGCCACTACAACCTGTTTTGGTCTCCCCGATCACTATAGGTATTCATCTTCGATTCCTTTACTAGTCTGAGGCTGCTGGCTTCGTCATTAGCGCAGAGAGGGGAGCGATGGGGCTGCGTTTATACTTTAAGTTGGGGGTTATAGCCTCTAGTATGTTTGTCTTTAGACATACTGTGATATCAGGCTACTCTTACAGCCGTTTATGTTAATGTTGATAGCTCCTGGTCGGTGTAATGACACATTTTCTTCATAATTGGTGTATAATCGAATATGAGTATTAATCTACCTAGGTATGGAATCATCTGATACGGTACCTAAATAAGTGCGCAAGCGGCAGGTGATCATTTGCGCCAGCTGCGGTCGGGTCGGCAAGCAAAACGACGTGACTGCCAAGAAAATCCCGCCATCTGACTCGTCGGCTCTCTCTACGAACGTACGTACATTCAACTCACCGGGGCGAACCAAACGGAGACGTTGTGCAATTTATTTCGGGCAAAGCAACATTCTTTCATCATTCCCATTCCCCTGTGAGTTGCACCATCAGTAAGCTCTGAATCCAGACAACCTCTAGGCCCTTTGCGACAAAGACGGACAGACAGACAGGCAGGCAGGCAGGCAGGCAGGCAAGCCTTGGGCGTTTCTTCCCCAAGATGCGGAAGTGTGCATGAAACCATGAAAACCAGCCGAGATGAAATAGACGTCTCCATCCCCGGCCCGTACTCGGGCGGTGTCGGCCCCGTCATACCCCCAGGCTCAGACGTCATCTTCCCGGACAAGCAGCCGCGCAACAACGCGGCTACTGCTGCTTCCGCCGCCGGCGTGCGAGCTCTGAGCGCCCAGGCCGTGGCCTTTTATTTTCGCGCCCCCGTCAAGGCCTTTTTCCGCACCCGCGTCGACTACCTGGCCTATGCGCGCTCTGTACATCTGGCGCACACCGAGGTCTTGCGGCAGGCGGTTGCGAGCGACAAGACGCAGTCCCGCATGGGCGCAGCGCTGCGCCAGACGTGGCTGTGGATGCGCGGCACGACACCGGGCGTCATCACCAGCGTCGTCCAGCATCATGGCTGGGGTATCATCCCGCAGCAGATTCTGCCTCCTCTCATGGCGAACGTGAGCGTCGGTGCTGTCCTATATACCAGCTACCTGCAGATACTGGGCCTACTCCACGAGGAGAGCGGCAGGGCCAGCAAGCGTGCATATCCTCCGCCAGACCCAAAGCACACGTTTGCTGCAGGATTCCTGGCCGGAAGCATCCAGAGCGTCGTCGCCGCGCCGCTGGACGCAATCCAGGCAAGGTTTGACCACCGCGACATCATGCCTGCAGACGCAAAGGGCCGCCCAAAGAGCATGTGGAGCTTCAGTGCAGAGAAACTGCGCGAGATTGGCCTCCGCGGCATCTTTGCCGGCTGGGGATTAAGCTTCCTCAAGGACGGGTTGGGAAATGCCATCTTCTTTAGCACATTTGAGTACCTCAAGGCGCAGGGCTACTATGGTTTCGTGACCTGGTATTACGGTGGGCTGAGCGAAGACATTGTTGACCTGTTGGCCTTGAAGCGATCTCTCCCCCGGGACAAGCGGGCGAGGACCAATGCCAGTGGGGACGTCGAAGGCGGCGAGCAGCCCAAGGTCATCCGGCCTCACTATGCCATAGAGCCTGCCTTTCTGCTCCTCGCCGGCATTGGTGCTTCCTTTGCTCAGCAGCTTGTATTGCATCCACTCACGCACGTTCAAGTGCGGCATTGGGACCATTTGGAAGAACTCGACGACAAGGCTGCGCGGCTTCGTGCTTCGGCCGTCGCCAATCCGGACAAGCCGCGTCATCGATGGCGGATGTTGAGGGCTTACTACCGTGCCTACCGGGAGACCTGGGCCCAGTGTACAGCCGAGGCGAGTGCAGAGCGTCTGGGAACAACACGTTGGCTCTACCGAGGGTTCTGGTGGAACACGATACGACAGGTACCCAGTACGAGTGCAGGGCTCATTATATTCGAGCTCGTGCGGCGGAAGTACGGATTGGGAAGTGATGAAGTCAGGATTACACGAGATGGTTATGATATTCTCCTCAGATAGAACATGGCGCGGCGTTTTGTGGCGTGACATACCCCTTTAGACAAAGACGGAAACATCTCTTCTCGAATTAGTACAATATATATACACATAATTGGATTCTTTTTGCCATAGGGACTTGTCAATCCATCTTTTTCATCTGCCGTGGTTGCTTCTATTTTCTTTTCCCCCCATCGTCTCAACCTGTATGCACTATAAAAGCTCGCATCAGGGACAAGAGAGTGTGGCTTGATATCTTGTATAGAGGACGGTGAGAAAAAAAAGAAACCGAAAAAAAAAAAAAACTACTCCACCAGATGTAGAGTGGAGTGGCGCGAACGGTGATTGTATTCACGGGATTTGAGTTGAAATGAAATTTGTAAGAGCTCAAGAGTAAAGAATAAAGGAACCTTTTTTTTTTTCCCCCTCTGGTCGGGCTTTGAAGGACGATTTCCGGGATGTGGAGAAGCCAAACCGTACGATGACGCAAAAAAATCCGCCGGCTTTCACTCATAGCTTCACATACACTCATTCATCAACGACACAAACCCAACCAATTCAAGTCATAGAGCATAGGAAGCAACATACACATTTGTTTTTCAATTTTATTTCTCAAATCAAGATTGAGACTGTCAATAAACAAGGGCTTTGACGACTGCTGCTCGCTTGACTCTTGAGGGGGAGAGTCCTGGACCTCTTTCGAGAGCTACCCATGCTACCGCCGCCATGAAGCCGACTGATGCACTAAACAGTGACGAGGCCAATGAAGCCCAGCGGCAGGCCGTCAGAGGTGCCGGCTATGGCGCAATCAAATGGGGATTCGCGTCTGCAGTGCTTGGGGGTATAGGATATGCCATGTCGCCCGTCTACCGGGGCTTGACCATTCAGTTCAAAGTGTGAGTTGTTGCCAATGCGAGCTGGTGGAAGAGAGCAAACGCCTTGCTTGGCAGCCCTGCTGGCTGGTTCTTCCCTGTCATGGTCTTTCGTGCGCATCGCCTACACGCCCACGAAGCAAAACAAAAGAACAGTGCAAGAAATATGCTCACAGTATCATCAGGTATCTTCAAATGTCGGGCATGATACTGGGAGGTATGCTTGAGGCAGACGGGGCTGTTCGGCAGTACGAGGCACGGGTGAGGATGCAGAAGCGACTGGCCAGGGATCGGGCCATGTGGGAGACGTTTGAGAAGGAGTTTGAAGAGGAGGGCGGACCGCCTCCTCCGCCGAGGCCGAAGCATCTTAGAGAGGGCGACCAAAAGTGAGAGAAGCTCTTGAGCCACAAATTTGCTCATTATACCTGCTACATACATACCTACACGGGCGGGCCGAGGGAATATTTGCCCAGGACGAGGACGAGGACAAGAACCAGTAGTCGGCATGTACAATGCATCTGAATAGGTATCTGGTCTCATTTATTTCAAATGTATCTTTTTGTGAATTTATTTCCTCTTTTTTTCTTCCCTTTCCCCTTTTAATTTCATTGGGGAATCAAGAAAGAATCATCCGAGGTCGTCCCTACAACAGACCTGCAATCAAGTCGCGAAACGCCATGCCAATGCAAATTCATCTGCTCCTCATGTCAAACCTGCCCAACCAGCTGAACCTCGAGCCCCTTTTACCCCGTCATCTACTTTAGTTTTGTTTCAAACCGTTTTGGGTCCATATTGATTTTACATAGACGAGCCACACAACCGCTGAGCTGGAGCAAGGTTTGCACGCCTTCGAGGATCTTCATGTGTGTGAAGCCAATCTCTTTGATGAACTCGAGCTTACTATGCTCGCTCAGTGTCGGTATCGTCTTGGTGACCCGGAACATGGTGCTGATGATATCGTGGCAGCTGTAGCCAAGATCCCACAGCTCACGGAGGCTATCCATGGCGCTGTCAATCTTGCCCTCGTAGCAAGCCTTAAGCATGGCCTGCACCTTGATAGGGTGCGGCGAGTCGACGACCTTGAAAACATTGTCTCCACTGACGAAGCCGAAACCTGCAAACGTGGACTGGAGGTTGTTGATTGCTTGTCGCATATCACCTTCGGCGCTAAAGACGAGAGCCGCCAGCCCGTCGTCGCTGTACTGCACCTTTTCTGCCTCGATGATTTGCATGAGTCGCTTGACGACTTGTCCATCTGTCAGTCGCGCGTATCGCAGGATGGCGCATCTCGACTGTAGCGGCTCAATGATCTTGTTGCTCTGGTTGCAGGCAAAGGCGAAGCGCGTTGTGTTTGAGTAGATCTCCATGGTTCGCCGCAGGGCTTGCTGCGCACCACTCGTCATGCTGTCGGCCTCGTCGAGGATCACGAGCTTGTGTCTGCCTGCCGGCAGGGTAACTTTTTTCTGTGCAAAGCCCTTGATTCTGTTGCGCACAACGTCGATACCACGCTCGTCGGATGCATTGAGCTCCAAGACAGCCTCCTTGTAGGAATCGCCCAGGAGTTGCCGAGCCAGACATAGCACGCTCGTCGTCTTTCCGATTCCAGGCATTCCTGATATGATGACGTGGGGCATGTTGCCGTCCTTGGCGATAATCTTGAGTCGCTCGATCGTCTCCGTGTTGCCTACGACATCATCGAGGAAGATGGGTCTGTACTTTTCTACCCTGCAATTGGTTCGTTAACAATGAGAACTTTTCCTTAGGGAGCTGGCTGGGGCGTTCCAAGGGGGAGGGGGAAGAGAGAATAGAGTGTTTTTCACTTACCATGGAAGTTCATAGGTGGCGGCTCCATTGGCCGAGGCGTTGAGAGCCTTCTTGGCTGCTGATGTCGACGACTCGCCAATTTCGTCCTTTTGTACGGCAGGCATTGTATATTTTTGACCTTGTACAAAGTGTGCCAGCAATGGGTTGGAAGGGGGGCAAGCGAGGGGAAAGGATAAAGGATAATTCAGGGTTTTGAGTCGTCGGCGTGGTGATATCCAATGTCCTACAGTCAAGCAAGCAGTGACTTTGTCGGCAGCGTAATGTATCCAAGATGGACATGCCTCAAGTCCTAGGTGGGCATGAGATCAATCAATTTACGCGGTTGATGGAGAGGAAAGACGCGTCTCGCTCTAGTGGGTACATGGTGGTGTAATGATTTGAGCTAGGTCTAATGCGGATTAGCTTTGTACAAGCTGCCTGCTGCCGCCTACCAGACGTATTTGATGCAGTGAGTGTATCATTGGTACACACATCAATGCACATCTGTACCCTCTCCAGAGTACATACGCAGTACAGTGCTAGCTACCATGAACAAGATACCTAGGTTAGGTGGCATTAAACTCTTTCAACCGGCAGGAGCATTGATGGAGCACATATGTAACATACCAAACCGCCAACATTACAAATTGCCCTGCGACTTGAACGTGTCAAAATCACGAGCACATATAAATGCACCTACCGAGAGGTATTAGAGACTGCAAGTCTGTCCATTTCCTAGCATGGTGCAACGGTACCTGAAAAGAAGAAAAGAAGAAATACCAGTAATCTCATTCGCGCTATTTTTTTCTCTTCTTTTCCCCTACCCTTCCCTCGCTTTTTCTTTCTATTTGATCATGTACTCTATCATATAAAAGAGTCAATCATTGGCCGCTGTCTAAATATATTTGGCCAGCATATCCTCTTTGCTGTGAACCGTCAAGAATAATTCCTAAAAGGGAAGATTCTTGTTCATGTGCGGTAGTCTCCATTGATTGTAATGTATTCATGCGAATAGTCGCAAGTCCAGTATGTGGCTTGCTCCTTGCCCGTGCCCAAGCGGACCAATATCTCCAGATCTTCGTGCTCGAGAATCTGGGCTGCCCTCTCTTCGTCAACAGCCTCTGGCTCGCCGTCGACAAGCAGTTTCAGCTCAGCACTACCGTCTGTGGGCATAAAGGAGACGTTGGTCTTTTCCGGAATGATCTCGGCAACCTCGTTCACACCGGCCCCCGGCTCCGTAATGAGAGAGTATCCAGTAGCGCACAGAATGCGTCCCCAGTTTGCATCCTTGCCGTAGAGAGCTGTCTTGACCAGTGGCGACCTGGCAATGGTGCTGGCAATCTTGCGTGCACCCTCCTCGCTCGACGACTCAGTCACCCGAATGGTGACAAACTTGGTGGCACCCTCTCCATCGCGAACAATGAGCTGGGCAAGTTCGGTGGCGAAGCCGGAAAGGGCCTGCTTGAAGGCCTGGTAGTCTGGCGAGTTCTCGGAAGCGATTTCTTGGCCACCGGCAGCACCATTGGCCAGAAGAGCCACCGTGTCATTGGTCGAAGTGTCTCCATCAATCGTGATACTGTTGAAAGACTTGTCGACAGCGCCCTTGAGCAGACCCGGAAGCAGCTCGGGAGCAATGGGGGCATCCGTGGCAATGACACCGAGAAGGGTGGCCATGTTGGGGTGGATCATGCCGGCACCCTTGGTGATACCAGCGATGCGGTACTCAATAGAGGGTGACGAGGGCAGAGTGAAGGACTTTGAGATGAGCTTTGGGAACGTGTCAGTGGTGCAAATGGCAGTGGCACATGTCAGCCAGTGGTCATGAGTGGAACCGAGTTTTTGGTAGGCCACGGGCACATTGTCCAAAATCTTCTTGATGGGGAGCCTATAGTATGCAACAACAACAAGGTTAGCCAGCGCCGCCAGCGACGACAACAACAACTGCCCCGTGCTGACCTCTGTCCAATGACTCCAGTGCTCATGACAATGGTGGCCTTGTCGGCACCGAGGGCCTTGTCGGCCTCGGTGGCCATGGCTTCGGCATCCTCCAGTCCGCCCTTGCCAGTGACGGCGTTGGCGCATCCCGAGTTGATGAGCACGCCCTGCAGGTCCGAGTTGTCCTTCTGCTGCAGCAATGCGCGACTAAATGTGACGGGTGCCGCCTGGAATTTGTTCTTGGTGAAGACGGCGGCGGCGGCACAGGGGCGATCAGATGTGATGAAGGCCAGGTCTGGCTTTGTGGTGTTGCTGGGCTTGACTCCGACAACGGTGCCTGAGACCTTGAAGCCCAGAGGATAGGTGCCACTGGAGGGAATGTACTTCTTCTTTGCAGCCGGTATCGAGATTCCAGCAGGTGCAGAATACATCCTCCGACCCAATTGGGTCGGCAGCCGGTTGATCATCCTCATTGTCATGGACGGCGGGCAACTGAGCCAATGTGTGTGTTTTTTTTTTTTAACTATTATCGCTGTTGTTTTTGTAACAAACACACGAGCCATCAAGCTTGAGTCAGCCATATTTTAATCAAACAATATATGGGACGGAGGCCTGAGAAATTTCAAGCTCCGCTGCTCGCCCGCCCCGGTCTAGTCCACCACCACCACCCCCACAGAAGCGGGGCAAAAACCTAGAGATACTAGTACTAGTAGGTAGGTAGATCAGATACCACCTACACCTAGATGTGCTACCGCTAAAAGACATTTCATGTATTATCCTTCATGTATATTTTTATTTGGCTTGATATCCATTTATTGTTATTCTTGTATCATGCTTGTTCTTTGTGGTTGAATTCAAGTCTTCCAAGAGGGACACCAGCTCCTCGCTTAAAGCCAAGCCATGGTTCTTCTCAACCATAAATCCACGTAGATGTCTAGAGTTTAAATTATGGGCATTTACTATATTCTGTAAGAAACAAGCACGTGCAATAAAAACCAGATGCCTCATCGCGAGATCTGTGGAATCTCCAGGTCACTCTCTCCCAAACCGCTTAGGTGAAGGTGGCGCCGGAAATTTGGTGTTGATCTCCCTGGACTCTATTGGGCTGCCCGTACCGCTGCCCATCCTCCTCCCCTTGCTTCCACCCAGCACATTGACCTTGGCAATGGCAGATTTGCTCGTGCTTCTTGCCGGAAGCGGTGAGTCCCAGACAGGATTCCTCTGGTCCCACGCTCGGCTGATGAGAGGACTCGCAGTTGAACCCGATATCGGACTGGGATAGGTTGTCTCGGGCACTGTCCCCATCTGCGGCGCCGATATACCATACTCGGCCGGATTATAAGGCCTCAACGGCAAGAGTTGTGAGGTACTCTTCGTGCTAGTGGTGCTTGCTGGCGTCGTCATATCGTCAATGGGCGAGAAGCTCTTTGACTTGGGCGACGTTGAATAGTATACACCGCTGGGCACTGTAGGGGCAGCAGTTGTGATATTATACAAAGGTAAGCTCGGTCCAGTCCTTCGAGACCCGTGCCCGGACTCTGCAGCTGGCTTTGGTTCCCAGCCTGACCACTTCGAGCTCGTCGTCTCGGACGCGAAAGTGTTGGGGTTTGTGGTGTGTATGGGACTGGCGAATCGCTTCTCGTCCTGCCCAGCTGTCTCAGAGGGGCCCGAGAAAAAAGTTGGAGACCGAGGGGACAGATGAGTCTGGCAGCGGAAAGAAAGCGAGGAAGCCGGACGGTGCTTGCCGCGCTTGGCCGAGCTCGTCGTCGAGGGTCCTCCGAGGCGAACCCTCCGGTTACGTCGTTTCCGAAGGCGCACGAATAGAAATCCGGCCACTGCCAGCAGAACAGCGACAACACCAATGGCAATGCCTACGATTGTCGGGGTGGAGAGTGCGCTCTGGCTATCGGAGTCATCGCCTGATGCTGATGGGTCTTTTATACTAATCTCGGTCGTCGAGAATACGGTGCCATCAAGCCCAACAAGAGTCCCTGCTGCCGGCTTCTGCTGACATGCGGCCTCGAGGGCCACGAGAAAGTTGGCCATGTAGTCCTGTCCATCCGAAGCGGCTACACAGGCTTTGCACTGAGCGACAGCCGAGTCGGTCAAGGCACCACCGTCTGCGCTACAGTATCCATAGGCCTGCAGGTTTGTCGCATCCAGGTCATCGTCGGTGAGAGCTCCCTCAAGCTCGCCGCAGGCCGTTGATGTAGAACATGGCGTTGATGCAATGTTGGTGGCATTTGGAAAGCCAAAGATACAGTAGTCCAAGGTGTATCTCAAATTATCTAATACGCAGGTCAGAACAGGTCGTCGACAATGGCAAGTGTTGAAAAGGGAAGGAGAAGAGGGGGGGTGCATGGCTTACATAAGAACCAAGCTTGGTCGGTCTCCTGGCCTTGGGAGAATGTACTGTCCTGCAAGCATGTCATGCAGCTTTGAAACTTTCGTCCGGTAGCAGTTGCATTGAAGTCCTTGTCGTAGCACGTGATATCACCGTTGGCCGTGTTTGAGGAATTGGGATCGGAGATATCGAGATCATTTGAGTCAATACATAGGGAAGAGCATGGAGAGTTGGGCGTAACTTGAAGGGACGACGCGCGGCGAGGATAGATGGAGAATATTAGAATGAAGATGAGAATCGAGGATGCCATCTTTGCCGGAGGGTATATATTATGTCAGGTTGTCTCGAGGTGAATTGGTAAAGAGTGTACAGGCGCCGGGGGCTGCTCAGCAATAGTAACAGACGAGGAGATAATTAGAATAGTATAGACGGAGAAACGAAACTGTCAGCCAGCTGAAGTTCGACGCAGGATGAATGACCTGTAGAAAGTACAAATTTGACGAAAGGAATGACTGCACACAAGAGCATGAATTCAACAAAACCAATGACTTGGGGAACGTGGATTCATGGACGGCGCATTGGGATGGAACGAGGTATATACCCATGAAGCGATACACTACCGTGTGAGTGAGACGATGGACATTTGAGTCTAGTGTGTGCATCGAAGCGCGGCTCTTACCTATGCGTCGTCAGTTGTTGGCTGCACACGTTGGATAGGGTGGTGACATTCTCGAGCTCAAGGTCAACTTTTGCCTTCAGACTATTGATCGATTTTCCGGTAGAACGCACGGCTACATGGTGCAGCAGGGGATGAGGGCAACTATCACAGCCCAAAAGGGCAGCATGTCCGTACCGGTAGCGCGGATGCAGCAACGGTATTGCACATTTTTACTGGATAGGCGAGAAATTGATGAAAACAGCCAATCAGAGCATTCCTGCAACCCACACTGCTACTATACAAGCGCCCAAGACGGCCCCCAAGGACCCTGTTGTTCATGGGCTGGTTCGTAGTCAGCGGTGTGATCAGCGCTTGATGACCTGAAGCTAATAAATCCACAAAAGCTTGCAGAGTGTGGAAGAGTGCTGGAAGAGATGTGCTTGCCTCTCACAATAGCAGCAACTGACAGATGAAATGAAATAAACTCCCCCCAAAGATCATACCAAAGGCTCATGCTTTGTGCTTGGCTGGTCATGACAGGTGGACAGTCAGGCGTGGTCTTTGGCGCTCTTGGAGAGAGTCGCCTTGTTCCTGTTCCTCCTCCCAGAGAAAAACGATCCAGTTCACAGACCGACACAGGGAGGAGGTATACAGTTGTGCATGTTATAGCTACCTGGGTAAGCTTTGTGGATTTGGATGCTGCCATTGCTTGACCGGAACAACGGTAGTAGGCATTAACCAACCACCTTGCCAGTGGTTCAATGGCATTCAAGAATTGTCTGTCTGCGATTGAAGTGAATGAGTTCTAGTCGACAACCAACAAAGTCAGTCAGTTGTCAGTGCACAAAATGTGATGGCACAAGAGCTGCAGTGTGCATGAAGCAGTGGGCGCTTATTTATTTATTCTCAGATCCACTCACGAATCACCTTGGGGCAACCTTGTGCGTGATTGGCCAGGTTCTCTTGGCTGCCAGAGGCATGCCAAGACGAGATAAGCGGCTATATTCTGCCGGAACCGAGAGCTACCCCAAAGCAACGAAAGATCATTGAGATATGTATAAACTCTGCAGTCTGCGAGGTGATCATATGCTTGTATGGATTGAGTTTACAAGTTCACGAGCCAGATGTGAATATATGCTTGCACTGAAATAATACCCAAGGTACCTACTTACTTGGAACCTCAAGATGCCGTGATTTATGTTGGTGGCATCTAGACTATGCTCAGTGCCATTGACCCAGGTTAGCTTTGATGCTTGTGTCAGTTCAAAATGGCAGAACATGGAATACAGTAATGATATCATTATATTCTGTCATTGTTGTTTCAAAACTGAAATGTTGTCCGAGTCCAGGTGCGTAGCGATTCGAGCACTCTAGAGTTGAGACTTATTACTGAATAAGGTATACCAATAGCCCCTCCCTAACCCAACCCAAAGACCCATCCTCAACGCCATGCGATGAAACCCAAGAAACATGGCCGTCACAAATCTTTCAAGACCCAATGCCATCCACACCATCCAGTACAACCTTCTTGTCCGATATACCTATCTTGTTTTCAAACAGACAACGGCCCTCGTTGCAGTTGGCGTGAAATACTATAGCGCTGCCGACCACTGTTGGAGTCGCACCGCCCGGGGCCGTGAGTCCAAACGAATCATCGGTCTTGATCAGTGGCGTCGAGCTCTTGGTATACGGCCCCAGCACGGTTGGTGCCGTGGCGTAATTGACATTGTAGGTCGATTCCGTAAAGCACCCAGAGCTGTAAAATAAAACATACAGACCATCGCTGTCCCGGAGGATGGCGGGCGCCTCGACCAGCGGGCCGTCGGCGTCGCTACGGTCCAAGATCTGAGTCGTGGTCCCAATCTTGGTGACTCCGTCCTCATCAACCTGCTGTATCAAGATGGGCGTCGGGACAATCGGCGCAACCTCGTTGCCACAGGATCCCCCGTGGCCAATGCTGTTGCCGTCGATTTTGTACACGACATAGCGCTTCCCGTCCTCGTCTTTGAAGCCTGATGGGTCAATGGAGCCACCAATGCTGAGGTCGCAGTCGAACGGCGTGTCAGCCGCTTTATAGGGGCCCAACACAGTCTTTGCTGTCGCAACTCCGATGCAGTGGAATCTTGTATCGCTCTTCACTTCTCCGGAATAGTACATGACATATGTTCCGTCATCCAGAAGACGAACGTCTGGAGCCCATGTGTTCTTGCTCGTCGTCCATGACCCAGCATGAGGTAGTGCGTCCTGATCAAGGTATGTCCACGGTCCACTGGCGGCCGACGCCTTCGCAACCTGCACTTGCTTGCCGTTGCCGGCTGTCGCAAAGGCATACCACTGACCGTCCGAATCTTGCATGATGGAAGGATCCGGGAAGTCCTTCTCCATCTCCGGTGAGCCCGCGCGCTTGATTAGGTGACGTCTGAAGTCGAATGGAGCAGCAAGGGCAGCTGATACAAGTAGCCCCGAGGCCAGAATATATGATGAGACTATCCTCATGGTGAGATATATTGATGTGTGTGTGTGTGTGTGTGTATGGGTATTTTATATGTGACAATGTCTTGGCCCGGATTTGAACCTCGTCTTTGTTATGACGACAGCATGGAGATGGATATATCCTAGGATGAGCCACACAGACTGTTGTGCCCTGGTGAATGTCCGGGGGTGGAATTGAATTAAAAATGAATAAAATCGAGGGGTGATTAAGATGGGGATAAGTATATCATAGAAGCAATCGTATAGGGGGGGGGAGGGGTTAAAGGGTAATATATTCTTCAAGTAAGAGTAGGCAATGAGGCCAATATGAAGAGGCTTCCTTGCAAATTTTTGGTATAATATAGGGTATAATGGAACACGTCTACCACGGCAGATATTGTCTCTGCAGCAAGTGAATAGAAACAGCCGAGACCGATAGAGCCAGTGGATGGACTACTAACTCGGACAAACGAGGAGAACGACTGGTTTAAATAGCAGACATGGCTCGCGCCCGATCGAGAGGCTCACAGCCCCTGATGACGGACCAGTATCGAGAGAAGAGACCACACACAAGAGGTCAGACTAGTATGGTCAGTCGACCGGAAGCCGGATGGGAGATTGTCTCTCCAAACTACTTGATGCATATATGGTTTGCATTGGACGTGGCGCAAACCCACGAGACTAGTGATGGGCCCCAATTAAGTCGATCTACCTGGTGGTTCTATAGGCCCAAGTCGGTTCTTCTTCTGGGCAGGGCTGAACGAAGTTCGAGAAGACGCAAAGGCCCCACCGGCAGGAGGGCCCCAGTCAGGATAAGACAAGATGTGCTTCACTACATCCAGGAATGCACTTCTCTTGATCAGGGATAGTGGAGCTGAAGAGAGGGGGGGGGGGGGGGGGAGGTGTCCAAAGGATGGGGCTTTGAGTATCGCATTCTTGTGTCGCGTGTTAGCCCAGGAGCAGCACGCGGATCCGATTCTTGTTCGGGCCAACATGTGCTCGGGGTGGCCAGAAGGGAGACCCTGATCTGCGAGTAAAGGAAGAGAGATGGAAAAAAAAAAAAACACCCCGATGACAATGGTATGGTAGACTGAGTACTAGGGTAGGTACAGTAGGTAAACAGCAGTAGTAGTGCAGACCTACGCAGTAGCCTGGGGGGGAAATGCCGAAAGGGTGTCAAAGACTCCAAGCAATGACGATGACAATGACGACGATGATGGTATTGGTGGTGATGATGATGATGGGGATGATCAGAATTGAGCTCTACACGACACGCATACTTACATATGCGTACATGCAATCTATACCATGCTGGGTCAGTCAGTGGCTGTGGGGAGATTGCCGTTGAGAGTCATCCTTTTGCTTCTCCTCCCATTTTGCCAGTGTTTGTAAATGAGCAATGTCACGACCCACGGCGTGGTCGGAGCGAAACGCTATGTTCAACAAAGGAAGTCAATAGTCTTGTGGGTGAGCCAGGTGAACCAGTTTTGATCGGCAGGTCGAAGGATTTGTCTGACGGCATTACACAGCCTATTCGGGGTGCGCGGTTGTCATTACAAGCATTCGGATCCGAGATTATTATCTACCCAAGTACTCAGCATGTCAAGTCAATCCTTATAGGCAAAAAGTAGTGTACTTTGGTCTCTTGTGTGAGAGTATGTATGTGTGTGTGTGTGATACTGTTAGTAGTAGTAGCAGTAGTAGTCCCTAGCCTCGGAGACCAAAGATGGATGTCGAGAATAGTGAAAAAGTCTCTTCTTCTTCTTCTTCTTCCTCCTCCTCCGTCATTGCCTTTTCTCCCCTGGCCTATTATGCAGATGGGGAACAAGTCCATGTCAGAAGGGACAGAGGCATGGACATGAGGAAAAAAAAATACTTGCATGATGACTAGCTACTTGAGACACAATTGGATTGTGGGGGTGCAGAGTGAATAAAAAGGTACCTACTATGTAGATAGTTGGCAGAAGGGGATTGGGCTAATAATAATGATAATACTAATGGGGGGATTGCATTGGCATTGACATTGGCATTGATATGGGGTCCATTTTTGCCATGCTGCAAAGCCCAGATCTGTGCCGCAAAGTGTGCAGAAAAAGATGTCGATAATTCAGGTACAATTTAAATTTGCATTTATCCCGTGGCACAATTGGCATATGAATCAATCATTATTTTCATTCTCTACTTCCAATATCTTTTTTCTTCTTGTTTTCGCACATGTGATAAGCTGTTCCATGGACGGCACGGTCGGGACAATAGACGGCGGTAAAATGTCATCATTGCCCTGAAGTGGTCGATATAGCGGAGCATACCTTTTAGGTTGGCAGCGTTGATTTTTAAATAGCCTAGCTGGTTGGTGGGTTGCGTAACTAGGTAACTACCTACTTGCACTAGACATTGAACAGACTGCACAGCAACTCGCACACGAGGCATACACACACAGCCTATGGTATGGCGTCTGATCGCAATGTGGAAATTCATGTGAAAAATGCATTAGTGGGGTAGTAGGTAGGCATCAAGAGGCTGTAAACCGAACTCACAGCAGGGACAATCAAGGGGCCACATGTGTGTGTTGCTCCATCTCAAAGGTACCTCTCTATCTGAATTACTTTGTCCTTGCTAGCTAGAGACTCTGTTGTCCGTGTCTGGAACCATTTGTTCATCGAAATGCCGTGTTAGAAAAATGGATAATAAAACCTGGTCGCTCAACTGAACCAATAGACTGAAGGCAGCTCTGCATTGGTTGCCATGACTGCCATGACTGTCACTGCCTCTCCATCGCCCGTGCCCTTTTCTGGTCGCAGCTTGGCACAAATCATGCTGGAGACATAGACGATCAGACTACCGGACGCGCACTCCTCGGTGCTCCTAATTGAGTCTTTTGGCACTCTGTACATACAGGATTGAGTGAGACCCCTTTGACATAGTGGATCAACACACGTGTGCGGTCGAGTCTTCTGAAACCAGGACACCCCCCCCTCCCCTCTCTCCAACAAGAAACCAACAATACTACAAGTGCACTATATGTTGTTGTGAAGGAAAAGGGCATGATGAGCTTTTGCCCAATGTCGTGTTTTGAAACGGCCTGATTATTTCCAAGCTCGGATGATTCAAAAACTAAACCCAACTAGTCGAAACTATATTGGCCACCCAAGGATTCCCAAGGGTCCGTCTATTCCGAGCCACGCGACTGTCTATGTATTATTACAGGGAACCAGTCTTTGCCAGTCTCTTTGGGGCAAGGGAAGCACTGAGGGAAAAAAAAAAAGAGGCAGAGTCACCATCATCTGAAACACAAAATAGGGCTTCAGTCAAAGCGGAATGATCCGCCCACCCATTGATGGCCAGCAGAACAGCTTCTCTTCCTTTTTTTTTTTGGTGTTAGTGCCTAGCGGGAACATCCGCCGCGTCAGTATTAATAGTAGATAACGGCATGTACCTTGTGGACAAGCTGATGACATAAGGACAAACCATTCGGCTCGGCTCTACTGTAGATGCACAAGACTATCTTTTCGTCTTTGACAATATCACACGCAATAGAGCACAGGTTCAATCTTATAACATGTCATTCATGGCGCAGGTGACTTTGCCCACGAATCGCGTTCATTCTCCTCATGATGTCTTTGGCAACCAAGGTGCTCATGGATCGAGTGCCATCATTGACGTCACAAGATGGCAAAAGTAGCAGAGCGGCACGCACTACCTTGCCTCAAGTCTTGATCATCAAATGCTTGCAGTACCATTACTTGCTGTACTACTACCTACAAGCCTATTGAGCATTTTGTGAACTTTGGTGGAATCAGCCCACCTTTCATGATCTAACAGAACCGCCAAACAATTTATCCGAACGCCTTTTTCCATGACCCTGGGGAATGTACCGTACATTACAGCGAAACGAAACGCCGTGGACTTTGAGAGAAACATGCAGACAAGGAAGCCGAGTATAGCCATCGTGTGCCAACAGCATCAACAAGCCTTTTTAACCAAAGCGCCAAGAGTGACTTTGAAAACTTGATGTGTTCTTAGTGCCGAGATGATGAATGAATCTCCTTCTTAATCAGAATCATCCGAGTCGGCTGCCGATGCCATTGAAGCACGCTTGGCCTTCTTTGCCGCCTTCTTCTCGGCCTTCAACCGCTTGCGCTCAGCCTTCTCCTCGGCAGTCTCGCCGTCGTGCTTCTTGCGCTTCTTCTTGTCATCATCCGCGGTGCTCTTGTCCTCGCTGTCTGCAGCAGGGATGGGGGCCTGGGCGGCGGCAGCAGGTGCTTCCGACATGGTCACGTCGGCAGCAGGAGCAGTCTCTGTGGTCTCGCCAGCAGGGGCGCCGTAGTCCTTGTAGGATGCGGTCCAAGTTGCAGGAGTTGCCTCGTTGGGTCGACCAAACTTGTCCAGCTTGCCTGAAGCCTTGAGCTTCTTCTTCTCTCCGGCAGTGGGACCGAGTCCCCAGCGTCTCGGGTACAGGTCGCGCTCCATGATGCATCGCTTCACCTTGGCAACGACACCGTGGTCGCATGTGCTCATCTCAACAGTGCTCATCTGAGCGATACCGATGGCAATAGCCTCACCCTTGGTTGTGATCAGAACGACTTCCTCGTGCACATCAATGTTGGCCTCTGTAAAAATAAGTCTTGTTAGTGTCGATTCAAGGGACCAGCACAGGCAATCGCCGATAGAGTGAATAGGGTGGACGATGGCTTACCATATCTAAGTAGACCTGGGAGCATGAGTTTGGCACCGTAGCAGATAGCATTGACAGTGCTGTCCTTCACAACAATCCGCTTGTAGCCCACGAGCAGAGTCTCGAGGGGCTGAATGATCTTTCTGAGATAGGCCTCGTTGCGCTGGTTGTCGAGCATGTACTGGGCATCCAAGACATCGTGCAGGGTGACGAGATCCTTTGTCTCGTCCATGGCACCACTGCGCACACGGCGCAGTTCCTGCATGTGTCCACCAACACCGAGCAGGAGACCCAAGTGAACGCAGAGGGTTCGGATATAGGTTCCAGCCTCACAGCTGACCCAGAAGACACCGAGGTGACGGTCGTTGTCAAACTCAATCAATTTGCTCTCGTGAATGGTACGGATACGCAGTTGACGCTTGACGGCGGAAATCAGAGGAGGGCGCTGGAAGAGGGCACCGGTCAAGGTCTCGAGGGCACGGGCGAATTGAGCCTGGCCGCCGGGCAACTTGTCGTGGAGCCGAATGACGGCAACATACTCCTTTCCAGCACCTTGTTGGGACTTGACAAGGCGGGTGGCACGGTCGATACAGACAATCAAACAACCGGTGACCTTGGGATCGAGGGTACCCGAGTGACCAGTCTTTTCAACACGGAGAATTCTCTTGACCCAGGCGACAACTTCGTGACTGGAGGGGTTGGAGGGCTTGTCCAGGTTGATGATACCGGAGCTGATGTACGACTTGAGGTCGCGGTTCATGGGCGAGCAGCCATGGTCAATGGGGGTGAAGTGACCAGTTCGGACGAGCACTGGAGCATGTCATCGTCAGCCTCTGGTCTCTGGACTCTGTCTGATGCGAGTGCGCAGACACCGAGAGCGGCGCTCGCGGCAAACCAAGATGAATCGAGCATTGAGTCGAGCAATGAACAAAGGAATCAAAATAAATCACTTACACTTGTCATAGTTGCGCAGCAGCAGCGGGGTCTGGCTCCAGTCAATAGCTGGAGTGGTAGCCTCCGGCTTGATCACAAAGTTCTCGGTGGCAGCCATTGTTGCCGTCGCGGGTTGGTGATGCGTTTGTGAAAAAGTTGCTCGACAGCAGGATTCGACCCGACAAAGACGCACCTCGAGGTAGGAAAAAAAAAATTATGCTGGAATCAATTGAAGCTCCAAAAATTTTCGAGGGACAGTGTGGGGAGCAAGCAGAATGGACCGCCGCTAATTGTGACCAATCAAAAGGCCTCGCGCTCAAGTCTAAAAAGCTCTCCCGCCACAACCTGCATGGAAAAAAATAAACGATTACAGCAACGGCCCCAGCCACAGCAGCCCGGCCATCGATAGGCGATACCGATAAACGTCGTTAGATAACGATAAGTTTTGGCTTGAGTCTTGACTGTGATTATCCCGTGTCTTATGGCCGCGCCATTCATTTGGTCTGCCTCCCTCACTCTCATATCCACACAAGACCCAATCATTGGCCTGCCATAATATTCTATGCAATTCCCATGTTCACAGGCGACGCCTTGTACGATTACAAAGGGCACTTGAAGACTAAAGAGTCGTCTCAATCCTATCAAAGTATCAATGATATCTTGATCCCATCTATCTGAATTCTATTCACGATAGTAGCTCCCATCTTTCTTGTACAGTAGGGTCAAGATCAAGGAAACATACTCATTATCTACATATACATACTTTGCTATTAGTCGTCGAGCTTTGAAAGACCATGCTTTCCTTGTCTCCCTGCCGTCATCTGCGTCGTCTAACCCCCAACTATAGTGTCTTTCTCACCGAGACAAACTACCTGATAACAGTTTCGCCTCTTATCTCCCAACCTGGAGGTTGTACCGCAACTCCATGCTGAAAACAAATAAATCTCAAAAACAAAGAAAAGCGACTACCGGGCCGGGGGCTTTGCAGATAACTACATTGCCCTTCCCGAACGAAAGTCCTCTTCAGTCAATGACCGAGGTAGCTCGGGACCGTGTCTCCCATAGCCTGGATGACTGAGGACGGGAGCCTGCGGTGGCGGCGCCGGGGGTGTATAGAATTCGTTCATACCTCCCCCACTGTGTATTCCCTCTTGCATTTCATAGTTTTCACTCTCTTGCAGCCTGTCTTTGCCCTTCTTGTCAGACCATGAGTAATGAGACTGATTGCCATCGGGGCTGATGGCAACACCAATGTTCTGTGAGGCGGTTGCAGCGGCGGCGCTCGGCCACTGCTGATTGTGCCCGTCGACGGCACTGACTGGACTGTTGAACTGCGAGCTATACGGTGAGAAGTATCGAGGATAGGCAGCGTCGTTTGTCGTGCTGATGGGCGACTCATCCCAACTACGTAGCGGCCGTTGGCTGATAGGTGTCTCGAACAACATTTCGCCCGTGCCACCCGGATTCGGCCACTGCCTCATCTGCTCGTCTCTCCGGCGTAGAAAGGCTCGCCTCTTGCGCTTGCCATTCATCACGATACAGAAGCCCAGCACAGCAAGAATAAAAGCCACCCCACCAATGGCTACACCGACGATTCCTCCAAGACTGAGAGGGCCAGATGGTCCCGAAGACGAGACTGCTGCCGTGGGAGTTGGTGTGGTGACCGAGACAGTATCAGTCGAGAATATGTTGCCGTTGATGGCCAAAGTTGAGCCATCTGCCGGCTGCATCTTACAGGCGCCATCGAGGATATTAACATCTGCCGTTGGTTAATTACTGCCAGTAGAGACGTGCTCGCGTGAACCTACAATTCATGAACTGATGGCCGTATTCCATAGCACTCAAGCAGCTGTTGCAGTCGTCCACCTGGTCAGCGCTCCAGTAACTGCAATATCCATACGCTGTAACGTTTGAGGCGAGCCCCTCGTACTGGAGGGCGTCCTGTAGCGGCCCGCAGGCATGACTGAGAGCAGGTTAGCCCAGTGATAGTAGCGACTCCGTATACGGGTAACTGACCTGGTAGTACATGGATTGCTACCAAGAGAAACACTGCTGTTGCCGAAGACACAGCTAGAGGTAGCAAAGCGTATATTGTCTGCCGACAAGAGGACTCGTCAGCGGTATAGCATATGGGGCATGCGACAGTACATACAGAGCATTGACTGCAAATCCGTATAGTTTGTTGCACCAGTCTGCGTATAATACGAGCTGGTCGATTCACAATTAAGACATAATTGCCAGACCACACCGGTTGATGTAGAGTAGTCTGTGTCTTTACAAACAAGATCCGAAGTTGACGTTGAACTGAGAACATTGCCGCACTTGGTCCCGCATGGCGAATCCGTGGCGACGAGAATGGCGACTGCAGACCGGCAAAGTACGCCGAGCGCGCAGACGGTCGAGGAGCGTCTCATTGCACCAGCTTTCGAATGATGGCCAAACTTTGCGGGCTTGGGAATTGTGACGCTGGAAGCGCTCACGTCGTCAAGGACGTGACGATTGATTCTGTCCCAGCTCGTGTCACCTTGGGTAAAAGCTGTTGGAAGGGTTGCCGGGGAGGGGAGAAGAAAAAAAAGCACCGCTGACAGCGAGCAAGCGAGACGGATGGCAAATGCAGATTATATCATCAACTTTTGTTTTTGGCTTCTACATTCTCCGCGGACAGGGAATCGAACGTGAACGTGTGATATAATCAAGTATCGGCGAAGATGATCGTGCCATTAGAAGAGATGAACGGTCAAATTTTACGCATGGCGACGGTCATGGCAGAAGCGATCACGTACTGCAAGAAACCTACCTACCAAACCAACAAAGTGAACCAACCATTGAACGGCCCCATTCCATTGCATTGTGCTCATTCCGGGGTCGAGAAGCCCCCTCTTCCCTCCCTCTTTGCCAGACTTGGTTGGATCGCTGTGCAACCTGCGGCCTCCTTTGGGGGCTTTCGACCCGTGATTCGCCCAGTGGGTGGAAAATCGATGGTCGGGCCGGGGGCCAAATATGCAGGTTGGCATTCATGGGCCATTGAGACGGCTCAGCACGTTGATTTACCCATGGTGGTCACGGTTCCGGCTGCAAGGGTCGACTCCAAGCCTTGCCACCTTGAGCTGTGTGATGGCTGGGTACGGGCGGTTAAGCGTATTGATTCGGAACGCTAGAATATTGCCGAGACATGGGTATTGACCACTCAGATTGGTTATGCATCGGATATGCCTGACTATCCTAGTATCCCAGCTGGATATTGAGCTGACCGAGTGATGGGTCTATACATTTCTGGGTAGTATAAACCCCACCCACTTTCTTTGTCTCCCCAATCAACTTGCTCTCTCTCATGTTTGTTGCTGCTACTAGTGTGGAGGGGAGAAGAATGCATGCTGCGCTCACACAGTACTACTGTGTATGTACGGCTTTACTTGCGCCGCCAGATCTAGCAACAGTTACTGCTATGTAACAATTGGCTGGATACCTTATGTACCTACAATGCCAACACCAACTTGTCCCTACCGATGTGCACTTTTGATCATTTCCATTGAACCGCATTTCGCAACATAGTCACCAACATGCATGCGCATGATGCCACCATCCAACCTGCAGTGCCATTGGCGGCCTAGCAAGATGGTCTAATGATTCGAATCTTGCTCAAAATAAGGGGTCGGTCCTTTCGCAGACTTGCAGCCAACTTTCTGCTTGCATTCATTCATGAATCCTTTCTTCCAATCCTGGCGTGCCCACTAGCATAATTCGCCCGGTTATACCAAGCCAATACATACAACAGTTCCAAACTGCCGGGACGCAATCGGCTTCAGTCTCCACGGGCCGCATGTCCTAGGGCGGCTGGAAAGAAGTCATCCACTACTCTGCTCCAATCACAGGAGAACAATACGAGTAGTGTTGGCGCTCTCATACATTTCCTAGGATATTCCAGTCTGCCCATAATGGCAAGACAATTCTCGGTCGAGGCCCAATTGCCAACGAGCGCACCATCATCGTGGCCGGCCATGGCCCCTCCTTATCGGTGTAGTATTCCGAAAATCGACACGACAAAAGTTAATAGAATAGGCGCCGGATGGGGGCCCTCAGCGATCACAAATCAGGTCGACTGCATCTAATTTATTTCTGGTTAGATAGCTTATTATGTGATGGCGTGTAACTGTTCCTGTTCATTGACTGCTCGGGTTCTGAAGGTGGTCAAAATGCGCCAACATTTGAAATTCTTTCTTTACATGTTTCTCTTGATCAAAAATCCATCCATATTGATGGCGACTAGGCATGATGTCAAGTGGTATACCTATCATAAACGAATAAGCACATACCCGGTATGAACGCCAACTTTCCGCAGCTCTGCCACTACCTGGGTGTGATGAATTGCCCACCCATATCCGATATTGTGCTCTGAGGCTACAGCAAATGCAGGGAGAATACATCTCTGATTGATGTAGTCTCCAAAGTCGAGTCGCTTACAGAATTCTGAAAGAAAGAAAAAAGAAAGAAAGCTCTTCCCCTCCCACATGAGTTTGGGCACATGTCATTCGAGAAATGATATACATTGCAAGTCACTTTGAGGGTAATTTTGCTCTCCTTCTTCTTCCAGTTCCGACTGCTCCGGAGACCTCAATGCCGGGATGTTAACCCGAGCTTTTACCCATTTCCCCAACTACGGGGATGCTCATGATTCAACTACCACCATCCAGTGTGGATGAAGGTAATCATCGCAGGATCATACAGTCGGCGGAATTCATCATGGACCGAAATTTGTGGTCTCAACAGATATCTCTTGTACAGACAAGGGTCCATCTGGGGTGAACCCTAAGGCAGCAAAAAGTTCAAGCAGAACTCAAGTCTGAATCGGTCCAGGTATGGCGTTGTACTGTGTATTGTACCGAGCGGTTCGTTGAAACACTTGAATGTTTCACATTGATGATTGCCTCCCCAAAGCTCCATACTCTTCACACCTTGTATGGAACTCGTTGTCTTTTGATAGGATTTGAACTTGTGATCGCGCTGGCCCTTTCTTAATCCGAGTCGGATCAACAGAGCTGAGGCTGTTCAGATCTCCACCAAAGATGAATTTGCCATCTTCCCAAGTATCCCAAACTCGCTGTTCTTCGCCTACACTTGTATCCCACATTATCGCCAAGTGAGAAGGCTGTCTTTTTTTCTTTCTTTCTCCCCCAAAACGTGCATACCTTGGAAAGCACTTTAGCTATTCTCATGAGCTTTGAGAAGTAGTGTTTTTGCATTTCCAATGTCACAGCCGTTGAAAGATGATATTCTAACGCTGCCAGATTTCCGGATCCCAGCCGCGTGGCCGCTGTACGACGCTGGAGCTCTATGGTGTGTTATAATAATGGGAGCGCTCTGCCGCTCACGTTGAGGCCTATGCGCTCAGCACCGATGAATTTGAGGCCGTAGAAGCGTAGAGATATGATATCTTCGTTTCTCGGTCCTCTTACCAAGACCGTTGAGAGATACGACTGTGGTGTTCATGGCCGATATTGCCAGCCTTCGTGGAGAAGGGGCGAAGCATCACACCCTCGTATGCCTTTGTTGAACTCGAAAGACCTTCGACAAGAGCAGAAAACTCCACAGTAGGCTCAGGTTCGAGATCTAGGGAGGCAGCGTCATCAGATGAGGCGTCTAGTGCCTCGTCCCTGTGTTCATCGAGCCATTTCTGCCAATGTCCCTCTCCATACGTATCGGCTCCGCCGAAAACGGATGCTTTAGAAAGACGATTCGGTCGAGCCAGCTTCCAAGAATGCCGAGGTGATATTGGAGATCCAAACTGACTGTCAGCTGAGAACTCAGTTGATGCGGTGCTCACCACATCCGATAGATCAAAGATGTAAGGATCAGCACCGTGATTGAGCCCATCCATTCCTTCCACCCCATCTACATTGGGATCCCTTGAACTTTGGAAAGTACTGGACAGTGGGGGATCTATACTGCCATCCCCCTCGCTCTGTACTGGAGAATTAATATCAGAATTGGCATGGTTTTCCGTGGCTTCAGCATAGATATCCTTCTCCCGTTCTGGACGATACTGAAGCTTCGCCATGGCGGGCTTGCTTGTATCAACGATGAGCAACTGTTCCTCGCCACGACCGAGCAGACCATATACCGTCACCTCGCCATCTTGGATTCCAAGGACAGCACTTGTGCCAGCATATAAAACGTCATCCTCTGTTCCGCATCGGTTCGCGAAAATAACGATGACCTCTTCTTCATTTTCGCGTCGTATCAAAGGCTCCATGCGCTGAACCCAATAAGTCAAAGTGTCTAGGTCTGGCTCTCCTGGATGACTGAGAAAAGAAGACCGATTCTCATGCGTCAGCCACGCCATCGATACAATGACAACATCAGCAGACACTCTGATTGCATGTGCTGCGAACTCAAACTCGTCCCATGGAGCCTCGAATTTGTAAGGACTATGGGTAGGGAAATGTTAGTTGGATGTCTCAAAAAGTAACCATCATGCTCTTACTTAATATCCATACCTGCAAGAAATATGATCAGTACACCATATCAAAGGTAGCTGCAGGAACAAACATACAAATGCCCATGGCAAGTTTGCCAATACCAGGCAGATATCCCTTCCAGAATCCCTCAGGTCCCTCTAATGCCCATGTCTCATCTGTGTAGTACAGATGAGATTTCCGATACAAGGCCCAGGCGTCGCCATCCTTATTTACCATGATCAAGGAGTTGTAGTATTCGGGGGAGGTCGGCCATTTGTGTGATACGTCGGCCGTTTCTGGATAGCCTACCGCCACAGCGCAGTCGTATTTCAAGGCAACGTTGCGAGCCCACACAGAAGTGATGCCTGTGCCAGTTGGTTCCAAGTATGGATATATTTCGCGAAGACTCTTGAAATTATAGCCTAGATGGATCAGCAATGAGCACACCAGTTGCGTCTAGCACGGCCATGCCGATAGAGGTTTCTGGGTACGGAACATGGCGTTATAAAACAACAACTTGCTCCGCGGGGACCTTCTCCGAGCTGGAATGGACATGCAACATACCGGAGAAAGCTAACTCAGGGAGGACCAGGAGATCCAGGTCTTCAGGATCGGCTCTGTCCAGAATGCCATCAGCGCGACTCAGGTTGTTGTTGACATCTCCAACCTGAGGGGCGAATTGCAGACAGCCTATCCTCATCTTGAGTCAATGTGTCCGATGAGTGAAGCCTGTCTCCCCCTTCCACAGATATGGGACCTCTGGTGTAGGTTTACACACGAGAATCCCCAAAGATTCGCCGCTCTCCTCAAGCCAAATGCGACTCGGCACAGAAAAACCTGTATCTCCCAAGATAATACCTTGATACCTAGGCAGGCAGGCAGGCAGGGAGGGAGGTTGAGACTCGAGAGACCTGGTGCTCAGGTGTTACCATACGAGGGAACGGAGATAGACAACTGCAATCGCGCCCGCGAGGTTGATGATGGTATCTGTCTGGAGCTGCACGTTGAAAGAAAAGGGTATCAATATCAAGCTGCACGCGCACGTAGGTGTTACCTCTCTATCCCGCCTGTTTGTTACTAATAATCAAGAGACTTTGAGGAGCCTGGCGGGGTTGGAGATTCTAGAAGCCCAGCCCAGGACCAACGGCGGGACAGTGTTTAGCGCCGAAGCTACTCCGGTACTTGGGGAGATCAGCTAGGGGTTCGGTGTCTCGGCGAATCATTCTTTGTTACTGGACTCCAATCCCAACCCAGCACGTGTTTTAAGCATTCTTTAGCAATTTTTAGCGAGTTCCAGCAGCTATGGAATTGCCGTGGCGGCATCGCAATGAGAAAGAAAGTCCCTCGTACCTACCTTAGGGTAGTGCTTTATCAAGTAGGTAGGTACGGATACTTTTATAAATTTACGCAAGCACATCTAGGCAGGTAGGTTTGTAATCCCTAGCTACATGGGCACATGTTGGAATTAAACAGTGCAGGTTCGGACCAAAACGCTGGTCTAGGAGCGGGTGGGTTTGTGGCTGTTAATCAAGACATAACCGGCCTCTATCCCTTAGCCTCTTGTGTGTCGTGATCATGCTGACTAGATTCGCGACTATCTATATTATATACCTACCTAGGTAGGTATGTATATACTATACATGCAGTGCCTACATAGTTCTTTATAAGCTCCGTACCTATCATGGCATGGCACGACTGACATTATCTAGCCAAAGCAATCATTCTCGACGATAACTTGAATCGGTAGTGTTTTGGCCCACGGACTCTTGCCGTTTCTTTTCTCTCCCCGTTTCCTTTTTCACTGGCCCAGAACATCTACAAGTCCACACTACATCTTGCGACATAGATATCCTCAATACTGGGGGGGCACAAAGTAATGATTGTCGAGCTCATAGTTGTCGAGTGGCCCTATTCATGCATGGTGTCGTGTACACTCATTCGTCTTGATTTTCAGTTGCTGGCTCTTCGTGACCGATGATTCAGGTTCAAAGTGTGTGCAAGCTCTTGAGGGGAAAAGAGGAAAATCATTACTGAGTACTCCGTGGCAATACAAAGTTATACTTATTAGCCACTCTATTGAATCACATCAATCTCACTTCTCCTTCTCCACGGTTGACACCTAGTTCGCTCGAAGTGTTGGAATGCCTTAGACTGGGAAACAGCTACAACTTACAGGCGGCGAGATGTTTACAGGTAATATAACCAAAATGACTTCGACCAGGCAGGAGAAAACTCAATTATTTAAGAAAATACTAGGATTCCGAAGGGGAGAAAAACGCATGCGCATGCAAATACTTACTACTAGTCATGAACCGCTATCACATCTCACTTTACAAGGATGCCGAGAACTTGACCTATAACAGGTGGCCGAGAGAAAAAGATTTATGTAACCGCCGGGGCGGCTGGCCATGTCTTTGAATACAGGTGGACAACCGCGCTTTCCCCACTCCTAATGCCTGCCTAGACATCTACATTATGCATCAGATCATGTCGGGGTGGACGCGGAAGGGAAACAATGTACTGTGTAAGCTGCATTGATACGCATAGCCACTGTGATTCCCTCGAACATCATGACCAGAGGGGCACGTCATCTACTCTGTACATACCCATTACCACAATCCAGCTTGCGCGCGAGACAGACAGTCTTTGTTGGGTGCAAATAAATAGTTCATGTCTAGAAAAGGGAAATCAAGATTTACTCATGGATCGCCGGCGGCAGATTGTACACAGGAGGCACTCCTTCTTCGCCATTGGTCTGTTTTGACTGGTTCGGATGGCGGAAGGTCGCGTAAACGGCCGGCGCTTGCGAGTCCACTCACGATGCATCCCTCAGCCCATACTTACTCATTATTATCGCAGTATCCAACCGTCTTGCACATGATACTAATCGCTACCCCATGCGAGGATCAACCGCCCGAAGACCAATTGTGGCCTCATCTCAAGCAGCTTGCCCGCGCTTCCGACAAGACCTTCTCATCCTTGATTGGCCCAGCTGTGCATATGCGCCTTTAATATGCAGGTAACATGCTATAGGCGAGAGCGACTAGAATCTTAGCTGACCGGGGTCAATCTCCTCGTTGATAGGTGGCTATTAGACGACAGAGCCGACACCACGGCTGCAGAAGAGCACTGGCTTGCCTTGGGCGCTCAGCAGCAATCTGAGACCATGCCCGGTGTCGATTTTTGAGTCGTTTAACTACCATCCATCACTGTTCGATTAGAGGGTCGCCAGCCTGCTCTGCGGACTAGGTAGGTTGTAGCTGATTATGCAGGCAGAAGGAACGTGTGTACATAGATTTGATTGCACCCTCGCGAGGACACTTCGCCATGAGGTGCACTTCTCCCTCTTAATTCTTCTAATTTTCCTTCAATGCTAATTTTGCCTTCAAGTCGCCGCTGGATACGGGCTTTCTTGTAACGAGAAATCTGGAAGGCTATGGATTGATCAGCAGTGCAGGTCAGCTACTCTGCTCAAATTCCAGGCGCTGAATTCTTTTTGGTCTGCTATGGCTGTTCTCTGGGCTCTTTGCCTCTGGTTCTGTGTAGCTCTGCCGAGCGTACTTGGTCTCCAGGTCACACCAGGCTCAGGCTGCGCAGCTGTGTGTTTGGACAATCCAGAAAGCGACGCCCTCGATTCTGCTTCATCTTCGACAAACGCATCCGATATCACATGCAGCGACTCTGATTATACAGAATCGAGCAAGGGTATCAAGTTCAAGAATTGCATTGATTGCCTTCAGACAAGCAGGGCAGTAAGCAATGACGAGAGCGATACCCGCTGGTTTATTTGTAATCCTTGACCACTTCTGCTCTGGATGGACGGACGCTAATCCTATGACATAGATAATGTCCAGTATTCTGTTGATGTGTGCTTATTTGGGTATCCAAACACGACAAGGACGATTTCGTCACCTTGCAATATAAATTATGCTTGCCAACCTTTGAAAACAGCACTCGAGACGGGCATCCTTGACCCGAGCAAGGATAGCGAGTTTGAATATTGCGATGCAGACGGAGGGCATTTTAATGGCACAGCTGTCGATGCCTGCACACAGTGCCTACAAGCCAGTGATGATCAACAGTATCTGGCCAACTGTAAGCTCGTTTTGGTATTTGATATACTAAGCATTGGCCCAGCTAAATCTTGATCAGTCATGACTGCGCTCCGAGCGGGCTGCAAACAACGTCCACAACCAGGAGCTTTGATCGGCCTGAGTGATTCTCTTTTCACAAAGAATCTCGTCAACATTACAGCGCCACCCTCAAATGACACAGCTACGGGCGATGGTGACTCAACAGCGACACTAATGACTACCGGTGCCATTGTTGGGATAGCTGTTGGCGCAGCTTTGTTGTTCCTTGGGGGTACTGCCCTATTCTGGGTTTATCATAGAAAACAAAAACGATTGTACGACTCAAATGTAGTCTATAAGTACGATCCTAGGGAAGGAAGCGCATCTGTCACACCACCGCTGAAGTGGCCATCTGCCTCAATCGACAGCAAGCCTGGCTCCGTCTTGAGCCAATATGAGCTCAGGACGCAAGCTACATTGAGGACTGGCAACGACCACCCAGATTTCGACGAGGAGGTACCAATCCAACGAGCCAATTATCATTTCGATCCGAATCAATCCAGTAGAGGTCCAGGTAGCGCTTTGCCGGTTCACCCAGCATATGTCCCGCGGGCCATGAGCCGAACAGGAGCCCGTGAGCTGTCGCCCGAGCCACCGTTTTCCTTGACGAGTAATCCAAGGGATAATTACACCTCGAGTATACATCTCGTTGCTTCAAGGGAAGTCGAGGTCTCTTCGATAGGCCCTCGTACCATGGTACCAGCGAGTCTCGCTCCTTCAAGACTTGGTACGAGAGCTGCCGTTGAACCCACGTATACCGGTTCGTATAATACATCACGTCCGCCACCACCTCCCGGCCCACCGCAGTCGATACTGAGCCGTGGAATACCGCCTCGTCGAGGGTCGAACCAGCCGCTGCTGCCAGGACCGCCGCCGCCGCCACCGCCACCAACGATTCGGGCTCCAAAGCTGACGCTTCCGTCGGTGCCCAGACTGCGAGGAGCAAAAAAGTATCAGCCACCACAGATTATCGTCGAATTGGCAACCCCTGTTTCAGGTCCTGGCGAGTCAGTGCCGATTGGCATCGAGATCAGTCACCCACTGACTGAACATGGGCAGCGCTTCGCCTAGACAGTCAGAGTTGATCCACAACCCACAAATCCACCTATACTTCCGACTCAAGAGACACATGTCCCTACATTCACAAACAGGCAAGTCGAAAAATGAGATTATGCCAGTCCTGTCCGCGGGAGGTGAAGGTACCGTGTTCGGTTCCTGATGATGGATGCATCACGTTGTAAAATAGCACATAGATATAATACGCACAAGAGTCATGCATTGTACAGAAACGATGTAATTATCTAACAGTACGAAAAAAAAGTTGATTGAACATCTCTGCTAGCAAGTTGTCTCTCTAACCTAGTCGTCGACCGGGACCTGCACTCCTCCAGGAATCTGGCAGTGGTCCGCCTCGGGGCTGATCATCCCTCGGCGGGACGTACGAGGAACCATACGAAGTGTTTGACACACGAGGCGTGGACATGATCCACGAGAGAAACCACGGCGTGGGCAAGAGATTCGGGCCCCCACCGAATTCTGGATACAGTCTAGTGCAGAAGTCGTGGAAATGTGCGGCCACCAAGCCACACAAGCAGATCTGGACCATGATCCATCCGTTCAGCAGATTCAAGAGAAGCAGAGCGTAAGGCATGAGCTGAGCAGGAATTGTGACTACGTAGAAGTGTGCCATCTGACCCCTCTGATCTTGGGTGGCCGTATAACAAATGGCGATTAGCAGTGCCGGAAGATAGCGACCGAAACCAACAAAAGCTTGGTCCAGGAACTGGTGCCTCATGTCAGCGACAAGTTGACACGTAAACACATGCAAGGACAATAAAACATAGGTAGGGAGCATTGAAATGTAGGGCGCTAGAAACCACCTGAGCAAACAGCGTCAAAAGACCTTGCTCAAGTCATCCATTTAGACATCCCACCATGCCCACATCGCGACTGGCCCTGATTGAGGTTTGCGAATGATGGACCAGCCGTGATGCAGGGGTGATCTTCCTCAATTCCAGGAACCGCTATAGCTGTAGAAGCAATTCGCTATGCGGGCAGATATGTTGAGGTGTAACGGAGTGGTTACGGAGGGGGCGTGTATCACGTCAAATAGGCTGGCAACGGTAGGCCAGTCGATACGGGCAGATGAAATGGCGGGAATGAACCTTTTTTTCAATACAAACGGAGGGGAGCAAGACATGGAAAGAGTTGCAAGGACCTACAATGATGACGCTGCCGACAACCATCAAGTACCAGATCAGGTCCTCCTTGCGCGAGAACTTGGAGTTTCCCTTCTCGAGCTGGCTCAAGTAGGAGTAGACAAAGTATGTGTCTAGGAGGACGCCGATCTGGGGGCCGGTGATCAAGAAGCTCGTTACGAGTCGATAGACAGCAGGCGGGAATTTGAAGAGGAAGCGCCAGTGAAACCAGAAGGGACCGATGGAGAACAATTCAGTGTAGACCCCGAGGGAGCAAACGAATACGAGAGTTGCGACGGTTCTGTTTAAAACAGGTTGTGAGCGTCTTGTCCCAGAGAGGATCGAGTTGCGGAAGATTGATAAAACTTACCTAGCTATGGCCGGCGCAGCCCAGTAGGCGTCCACAACGGTAGACATTGTGCTGGTGTTGCCCTGTTGGGTCTTCTACAATGGCCGGAAAACAAGAGTGCAGTTGGTGCCAGAAAAGATGCGGAAAGCAGCAGAGGCTATGCGCAGGTGTGTAGGAAGGCGGGAGAAGTTCGCAGCCTGAACTACGAACAAATGAAGACACGAGGCAGCTCGCCTTTGGGTTGGTGGGAAAGGAAGGAAGGAAGAAGGGAACGCGAGACGATGAGAGGGCAGAAGAGACCAGGCAACACAACAAGGAGGCAAGCGAGCGGAAACACGTAGTGTATATACTGTGTACCTAGGCAATAACTACGCCGCTCGCAGCATGATATGTCCCGTTGCGTGTGGTTGGTCAATTTGCTTCCGAAGAGGAAGTGAATTGATTGAAGGAATGGAAAGAGAAGATGGAAATTGGGAGCTCGTCGTGGAAAATAATAAAATCTGGCTTTTTCTGCAGCGTAGCCTAGCGCTGCTCCTTCAGGGCTCAGCGCAGCTCCACTGGCAGGAGCTTGAGGCACCGACCCGCAATGATCAGGCCTTGGCCCTAGCTCCTAATGCACCCGACCTCGGGAATTACAGCAAAGGTTCAAGTAGTAGGTAATGTACTGCGTACGTACCTTTATTACCAACCCAGGTGGTGACCGACCATTCACTTTGATACATTCCGTTTATTTGATCTGCGATCAAGGCGAAATCCTTCCAAAAGAACATGACATTTATACAAATCCGTCGTGGAATCTGTTGATGCCAGTACGAGATGTGCCGACTGAATATCTGATATCTGCAAGCACCCAGCGGCTCTTTTGATTATCCCCCAGACTTTCATGAAAGGTGAAGCACGATTACTAGCAGGCCTTGAAAAAGATAAGTCCTAAAAAGAAAAATACGCTTGCATCTCGTCTACCTACGTATCTATCATCTAAGTCTGAAAGACTCTAAGGAGGCGAGAAATTCGAGCCGTACGACCACCACATAAACTGCAAATCTTACTGCTGCCAATACATACCAAGGTCACAATCATTTTGTCCAATGCCGACCTCACAGTTTACCTTGTCTCTCGCCCGGTCTGAACTGCCGCTGGATGATGCCGTCCTGGTATTCTGTAGCTACGTGTATTCCTCCGGGGCTCCAGATCTTGCTCATAATGATCCCTCGGCCGGCCTCAACCCGCGGGAAGATGGCTTCTTGTATCCACCACTCATCCTCGCCAAACTTCATTACAGCATCCGACGGGTTAACATGCACAACGAACGAGTAACTCAAGCTCGCCGCGCGGCCGTAGCTGAAGCCCAATCCAACGTGGTTGCCAATCATCAGAAGACCATTCCTGTCGGCCTCAAATGCGTGCGCCAAAATGTGCGCGTCCGGGTCTGCATCGGGTAGGGGCGCCAACAGGCGGTAGAGCAGGAGCTCACGTCTCTCGTGAAGAGGTTTACCCTCGTTGAAGGCCGTCATGTCGACCTTTCTCATGTCCACGATGGGGAACGTTCCCACCAATTTTGAAGTCTCCAAGGCTGCTATAATACCGGCTATATCGACCAGCGGTGCGGGATCCCAAGCCCAGGTTGGTCGTAAGCTCAGGATCTCCGCATAGCGTGTCTGCGCCGAAGGGCTCTGAACCTTCACTTGTGACGCTGTAGCCGGTCTAAAAGAGACCAAGGCGCTGAAGCAAACGGGGCCAAGTGTCTGCTCGGAGTCTTCCAGTGGAAAGTGATCACCCTCTGCACCCACGCTCGGCCTTGTTGGTTGCCGGACCTTGACCAAGAAATTATGAAATGATCGGTTTTCGGCAATCACAGTGACCTCGTAGATGAACGGCCGATCTGAGAGACCTGCCTCGGAAAAATATCCGTGAATTGTCTGGGCGGATCCATTAGTAACTCGTCAAAAATGATACAATCATGGTGCACATATCAAGCCATGTAGTCGGACAGGCGCCGTATTTGATCATGAATCCCCCCTCTGCCTACTTACATGTATTCCAAAACTACTCGATGCTGTAGCACCAAGGGTTTTCCCTCTAGTCATCGCGAATGTCTTTGATGCCGCCAGTCCAGCCTGGCTGTATACATGACCTCCATAAGCCGCTTTATGTACGAACGTTTGCAACCCTCCGGAAGTAGAGCCGTTAGTGACTGGCAGATCGCTGCCAGGAACGTATGCCGCTCTTTGGCTCATGAAACGCTTCACCAAACTTCCTTCGTAGGCAACACTCGGAAGCTCAATAAGTTTCAATTGTTCTTGAAAAGTAAGACGCCCGCCGGCTGCGTTGACCGTTTCTGGTGCCATTTTGCGAATGTCACGATGGCACTCCTACAAAGGAGTGTTTCACACCTCACGACAGCCTCGTAGCAAGTGATGGGATATTGCTCCAAATCTATGCATGTGACTCGAATCGCACCTGTTCATCAATGTAGCAAATTGATCAAGCCCACACACGATTGCAGATCGAGAAAATACCAAAGTGCAACAAGTTATGTCGTGTTGAAGGTGCGTCGCAGGCAATGCCGTCGTTAGTTCCGAGAGCGACTTGGAACTATACCGCATCAAGCCTGACCGAGCCTTGACCATTCTCGTATATCCAACCCACGTGACTGGCAGGGTGAGATAACAATTCATAGTATCAAGGGTGATGGATTGCTTATATCGGATTGCGGTGCAAATAAAAGTACGTCCTGGCAGTTGCATGGACCGAGATAATCCACATTGTGATGGCGGCTGACTGCCTACCAAGTTCAATGCTGAGAGGTCCACATTCGGATATAAAGTGAAATAGGGTCTGTTTGCAAAACACTTTATTTCTTATTTTATTTTAATATCCAATGCAAGCTGTACCGTGGAGGAGACGACAGAGAAACAAGATGTACCCTTCTGATGTCACTCCTATTGTCTCCTTCTTTGTCGCAAGCCGCATCGAAAAAGCCCGGAAAAGGACTAGCGAGCAGCCATCCTGACAAGGACGATGTTGCCTAAAGGTCATGTAATTCTGGCTATAAAAGGTCCCATTCCTTCATGCTGGGAAATCCCACTTTCCCCTTCTCTCCTCAAACTTACATTCTTCGTCGTTGAAGAGATCAAGCAAACTTTGACGAAGGGCGGGCGACCTACAGTGCACATGGTGGAGTGGCCTGTCATCTGGCTGGGCTCAATGCTCACTGGGGAGACCAATTTTTGTTTATTCTACCTGTTTTCGTTGTGCACGTCGCCTTGCGCGCCGGCATAAGGAAGGCGGGCGAGCATTCGAATATAACCATAGTTTTGGGTAATCAAAGAGCGAGGAAAACACAAGCAGAACAAGTCATGTCAATATTTGGTGGTATAATATCGCTCTAGCAAAATGGGTTTATCACGAGGCCTAACACGCCCCGGTCCAGTTCTTGTTCTTGTAGGTTATACAGTCATCATGCAACCATGCCCTAGATACTTCTTACGTCTAAGCAAAATCAATCTCCCAGTCTGCGCCGACTCTAGCACCAATGCGCCCAACGGTAGCAAAAGCAGCACGACTGCCTTCGGCTTTGTTGAAGTGGAAGGGGACCTTGGTCTTCTTGCCACCAGAGAGGACCTCGATTTCTGTCTTGCCCTCCCAGGATGATGGAGCACCGATGATGATAATTTTATCAAAGCTGACATCATGGAACTTCTTGAGCCAATCGCCCTCGCGAAGGTTCTTGCCCTCATCACTAGGTGCAGCAGTGGAAGTCAAAACCCACTGATGGAAGTCGAAGACTCTATGAATGTACTGTCCCTTTTGGTAATCAAAGGAATCACCATCGTCGACATATAGCTCTCCGTGAGCTGTCAAGTCTTTGCCAAGGGTAACAACAAGAGTGTAGTCGTCGAATTTCATGAGTTGTGTCGAGCGGCGAGGGGTATCGCGGCGCGGGAAAATGTGGCCGCCGCGCATCACAATGGGGATCTTCTCAATCGGAGCATCGATCGAGACTGTCTTGCCCTGGTGTGTAGAGAGCTTCTCGTATGTAAAATAGTCGTAATAGATTGCATTGTCGGGAATGTAGATATCAGCTGTTACCTTTTCCTTTTCGACGATGGGCTTGACCAGGAGACCGGTTGTGCCAACAAAGAACTGATCGTCAACGGCAAAGCCACTTTCTTCGCTAGGGTGCGTCCAGTACATGGGGCGGATGATCGGGCTGCCGTCCCGGTGGGCGTGGAAAAACGCAGTGTACCATGATGGCATGAGGCTGTAGCGGAGACGCAGGGCTGCAGTGATGATGGACCGGTATGGTTCAGCAGCCATGTAAGGCTCACGACGACGAGCATCAATATGCGCGTGGCCGCGGAAGAAGGGATAGAAGGCACCGGCTTGGTACCACCGTGATTGCAGCTCCAGTTCAGGGTTGCCAAAGAATCCACCAACGTCAGCTCCAGCGAAAGGGAAGCCAGAGATTCCCTGCGCGAGGATCATGGGTACGGCTGCGCCGAGATGCTCCCAACTGGCCTGGTTATCACCGGTCCACATGGCGCCCAGACGTTGGGAGCCAGCAAAAAAGGAACGCGTGAGAATAAAGGGTCGATGAAGCTCGCCCTTCTTGCGACTCAAAAGGGCTTCAAAGGTTGCATTATGAAAGGTCATGCCATTGATGTTGTGAACGTCCCGGTGTTCCCAACCACCATGGTGGAGGTTGTCCTTTGGCATTGTGACCTCAGGCCCGTTGAAAACGGACGGCTCGTTCATGTCGTTCCACAAATAGGTATTCTCCAGGGTGCCCTTGAACGCATCGTACTTGAAGAGCGATGTCCACCACTTGATGGCAGCAGGGTTGAAGCAATCCACCCACATGGAAGAGCCGGGCCAGCACCAGCCTTCAAAGTCATTGCCCTTGTTGTTCTTGACTGCCAGACCCTTGGATTTGAGCTCGTCGATGACGTGGTAGCCACCAGTATTCTTGATATGAGGGTCAATAATGACAACCAGCTTCCGTCCGTGGTCGTCGAGTTGCTTGCCCATGGAGACGGGGTCTGCAAACATATTGGGGTCCCACGTGAAGTACTTCTTCTCATCGGTATACTCAATGTCTAGCCAAATGACATCGTATGGAATCTTGAACTTGTCCATTTTGCGATCAACCTCCTTCACATCGTCATCAGAGACGTAGTTCCAGCGGCATTGGTGGTAGCCAATGGCAAACTCTGCGGGCATAGCGGTTGTGCCAGTAAGCTCGCCATATGTCTTACTGATGTCCTGGGGAGTGGGACCGAGGAAAACGAACACGTCTAGCAGGCCAGATTCCGAGATCCAATGCGTATGCGTGCTGGTCTTGGAACCCAGACCAAGTGCCAGGGGGTTCTTGCTCTCCTTGGCCTTGACAATATCAATCCAGGTCTCAGCACCGTTGAGCCAGAAGACACCAACAGTAGAGTCTTTCCGCTGGGCTTGCATCAGCGGAATGGCCCCGTACAGAGTCATGGGGCTATCGAGGATGTACTCGAAAACATCAGCGTTGTACAACCTGTAGGGCTCGTTGTAGTTGCCGTCGCCGCCACGGGTTTCCTTCAAAGACAGAGGCCCAGTGTGTTCGGGAATGCCAAACACATGCTCATAGCCGGGGAAAGTGATGTCAAGAGCAACACTCTCGGGACCACGAGGCTTGGTATCGGTATTTCCACCAAACGTCTCCTCGAACCAGGTGCCCTCGTCAAGGTAGGCAGGGACCTCTGCCGGCTCGGCTTTATTCTCCTGCTTCTCACCATCCTCGCCTTCTGCCTTTTCAGGTTCGGCCTTTTCCACCTTTGCTCTCCAATGTTCCATGTTCAAAAGCCCGCGGTCGTTGAGTTTAACCTGGACAGCGCCATCACGCTTGAAGTCGATACCAAAGGGTGCATATTTAATCTCAGCCTCAAAGGATGAATCGGGACCGTACTTGACGGTCATGCCCGTCTCGCTCTGTTGTGCAACAGTGGCATCCTTGTCAAGAGTCAAACCTCCGACAATCACCCATTTCTCGGCCTCATTGTATCTTTCTTTTCGGGCCGAGCTATCATGGCGTAACTCGATATCTTTCAATTGGCGCTTCTCCTCATCGATGGTGACTCGTGCGGCACCCGACTTGAGGAACGAAACAGTCACTGGGAGGGTAACTGTCCTTCCATCATCGTCGACGGTCTTCAAAATGGTTGCTTGGAATTGACCGTCCTTGAAGGAGGCCTTGTCGGATGAGATTTTATAGGGTGCTTGCCAGGCGGCGCCCTGGATCTCGACGTGGTCGGCGTAAGCTCGGTTCCGCTTACAGAAGCCTGACTGACTGCACTTCTTGAAGTCGTTCTCTTTCACCATGACTGTGACAGGCAATGAGCTACTGTCACGGGCGATTATACGGGGACTGGCTGAAATCTATAACTTACCGGCCGGCGTAAATAGGGCGCAGAGAATGGAGAGAAGGCAGAGGTAGGATGTCCAGCGCCAGGACAGTTGACTTGAGCTCCGCATCTTGGTCTATACGCCCCAAGACGCGGGGAGATGCAGTCTGAATCGGAAACTACTTTGAAAGGGCTAGAGATGGAATCATTGGCTAGCAGACCATTGAGCGGTGTTTATGCCAAAGGGCGGTTGGAAATTGATGGATTGTGAATAAATGTCGAGAATGCTCCCTCGATGCTCCCTCGACAGATGGGATTGATCTGGTATGAATGTCGAAGTCCAAGTTGCTAAAAGCTCCAGCTGTCAACTTGGTTGCTTTGGGAATGACGGTGGTGTTACCGCTCCCTACCACCCTTGGTGCTCGGGTAGCTCCCAAAAGGAGCTTGGCTCCATACGAGTCAGGTCTGGGGGCCCCCGCCAGCCTACATAGAGGCCCAAGGTGCTAAATCCCAGCCAGCCAAGGGAACACAAGATGGAAGAAAGTCAGGGACCAGTAGACTGCTGCTACGTTAAGTACAGCTGCAACGTGTGTGCAATGCCAACCAGTATCAATTGACTCAATGTTCAACCACTGGCAGAAACTTCATATGTCTCGTCAGTTGTACTTTGTGTCTAATAACTCTGATTACCATTCTCATATAACACCAGATATTTTTGATATATAATTAGAAAATTGACTCTCTTTCACTGCCGGCAATATCGTTGGTGATTTTGTATACAACCTCTTTGCTGCTGATTGATGATGACTCGTAGGTAATGTAAGGTATAATTCTTTGTATACCAGTGTCCAAATAGCGGCTTTACCACATGCATCGTGGACCGCCATTTTCCGACCCCCTTTGAGCTTTGCATTAATGAACAACAGAACATATGCGTGGAACGCGAGAGCAACTGTCAATGGGAATATAAGCATTGCGAAATATCTCTGTATCTGCTTTCATGTTTTGCATCTCGTCAGTCTGCTGCCGTCTGTTCGTCCTTGATAAACTTCTTGATCAATTTTGATTTCCAGAGTTGACTACACGCCTACCTATTAAAAGGTGCAGTTGTTACGGCCTGGTCCAAATTTATTGGCTTTTTGCCTACCTAGGTACTTATACCCGACCTTGGTACGGCCAGTTGATGTTTCAATGTTGCTATTGATACTCTACAATTGAGACGAGAAGATTAAGCGGACTTTGCAAATTGTCGGAAGAATACTTTGGGACAACAGCATCGTCATGTCTAAACAAGAAGAGCCCAGTATCTTTACCCAGAGGAGAGAGGAAAAAACCGGCACCCTAGGCCACACAGACCGCCTCCAGTCGTGGGATGAGACACGTTCGTCAAAATCCACATCGCTCAGCTCTGGAGAGACTGCAGACGCATCCAATGCCGCCCTTGAACCTCCTGCCACGCATCCAGAGCCAGCCAATGCTCTACTAGCAGGCCTAGCACATGCATCGCCAGCGCCAAAGCAAGTACAAGCAGAACCAGAGGCGGCCTGGACCAGCCGAGACAGAAAAGCCAATCAGGCCCCTCCTGGCTCGGGTTCAAAGCCCCGCCATCATGGAGACCAGGGCCGACGAGCAAACGGACGACCCCTCACTCCGTACTTTTTTCTCGTCGCCGGCCTGCTGTTTTTCATCAGTCTCCTTCTTTTCTTCCGGCAGTTGAACAACAATTCTACTCCATCCATCTTACGAACCACAAAAGAAACGGTCTCCATCCCCGAACCAGAAATCAAAATGGCTACCGAGCAGACGTGAGTTATCCAGCAAGGCCAATGGCTCTGCCCATATATACGACTTGCGTGCAGGTGTTTATTGACTGACCGACTTTCCTTGTACAGCTTCATCGCCATCAAGCCTGATGGTGTCCAGCGTGGCCTTGTCGGCCCCATCATCAGCCGCTTCGAGAACCGCGGGTATGGTTCCCTCTCCTGCATGGCAGCGGAAAGACAAGGGCTGCCTCGGCGAATCTGAATTACAGCTGACCTCGTCTTTCTAGCTACAAGCTGGTTGCCCTGAAGCTCGTCTCTCCTTCCAAGGAGCACCTCGAGACCCACTACGCCGATCTCAAGGAGAAGCCTTTCTTCCCCGGTCTGGTTCAGTGTATGTGCCAACGGTTTTGAACGATCAACACCACACGACGGTAGCTGACTACGAAATTACACAGACATGCTGAGCGGCCCCATTGCCGCCATGGTCTGGGAGGGCCGTGACGCCGTCAAGACTGGCCGTGTCCTCCTCGGTGCCACCAACCCTCTGGCTTCCGCCCCTGGCACCATCCGTGGTGACTTCGCCATCGATGTGAGTAGTGCCCTTGTGCCAATTGAGCGATGAACTCTAGTGAGTCTACAAGAAAAAAAACACAGCATGCTAATACCGTTTCCTTTGCAGGTCGGCCGCAACGTCTGCCACGGCTCCGACAGCGTTGAGAACGCCAAGAAGGAGATTGCTCTCTGGTTCAAGGAGGGTGAGGTCATCAACTACCAGAGCCACAGCGCTTCCTGGATCTACGAGAAGGCATAAATGTCGCACCTGACTTGAGGGCGGGAGAATACTGGATGTCTTTTGGTACAACTGTTGATAGAAAGGTATCTCATCCTAAGTCTTGAACAAGGACAAATAAAATACGGCGCCAGTAGATGACACAAGCTGTCCCCAGTACCTGCTAGATGAGTGCACGATTGCTTCAAGGGTACTATCACACTTGGATAGACTTGCAACAGCACTAGTTAAAAGCTGTTTGATATGCAGCCCATGCTCAACTTTAGCAATTGAGCAGGATTTTATGCAACAGGCTGAGTACATATGGCCATTGCCATTGAGGGTAAATGTACTGAAAAGCACATACTATATGATATGTTAATATTGTTATAAGCGGCAAAACTCAGTGTTACAATAGCATGGTACAAAGATACAACATACACCGGCACTCGATTCGTTATGCCCGCTTAAACAAACTTCTCCGTGCCCATGCGACGCTCCTAACAAATGAAGGGGTAACCCAAAGAGAGAATGCTATCCTTGGGATCAGCAGCACCTTGACGATAGCATAAGCAGCAACCAGCTGAACGCCAATCTTGTAGCCAGCCTCGGTATTCTTGAGAGTGACCTTTTCCCTTGCCAGCTCTACTGCTCGCCGCGTCTTGCTCTTTGCTTGCTCGGCCACGTCTTGCACGCTGCTCTCGTCAGGTTTCTGGTTCTGACCTCGGATCCTGCCCCAGAGCGCCAAGACGCCCTTGGATTGACCTTTGCCCTCCCGCTCGGCCTCCCGGTTCAGGTCTTCCTCGAATCTCTGCTCGCCCTCCCTTGCATCCTCTTCGCCCATGCCAAAATAGTTCTTTCTTCTAAAGTATCGCAGCACCTTGAAAGCGCCATCCTGCACATACGGCGCCCAGGGCCCAAAGACATAGCCCGCGGGCACAATGTCGTAGTAGTGAAAGGCGGCCGCGAGTCCGAACAGCGGCACAATCGCCGTCAGCTCGTGGATCAGCAGGAAGCCGACGATATGCGACCCGGGCGCAGAGCGAAAGTTTTGCAGCGGGGCATGGAACCGCTTCGGGAGCCAGCGTTGGGTGCGCGTGATCACTTTATCGAGGCGACCGGCTTGCTTTGCTGTGAGGTCGGCGCAAGGCTGGGATGATGTTGTGGTCGTCTTGGGCGCGGACGAGGCCTTGGTGGACTCGAAACGAGCATGCGGTCTTCTGGGGCGCACAAGGGTCTGTCGCAAAGGTGCAAATGATGAGAAGGTAAACAGCCGGGTCTGAACGGAGCGCGGGAGCGACATTGTCGAGCTGGACCGCGGCGACTCCAGAGTCTGGAAAACCTGGCAGGCGTTTGAAGGTTTGGAGGATGTGCGTGTGAAGCAAATTGACGTTCACGTTGCGAGTGGCCCGAGGTAGATTCTGGTATATCTAGTCGAAGGTCATGCTTGGAAGGGAAATTGGAAGGAGCTGGCAAAGTCGAAATACACGAGCGAGGGAAGCTGTTCAATTTCATAAATCAGGGGCACGGAACGTTGAAGCTGTCTCGACGAGTATCAGCAAAGAATATATATGACTTGGCCTGTCCTTGTCTTAAAACATAGCTGGATAAATGTAGGTAGGTAGGTAGGTAGGTAGTGTAGGTACCTAGATTTCCGTCCAGTATTCAAGTTGGCGGGGTATTATTGGGGACATGCTAAAGCTCCCCCTGTCTACTACTGCAGGTTGTCGACACCTCTCCTAGTACTCATTGATTAATGTACCTATAAACCCATATACCCAGATATGTTTGTGTATGAGACGCGCCTTTTCTTTCTTTCTTTCGAACATCGAAAGATTATGATCATTGATAGGAAATTTTTTTTGAATGGCTCTTGATGAAATGCTCAAAACTGGGACATCTGGCATTGTACATTTAAGAATAAACGCCCGCCTCTATCTTCTTCCTAGCTTGATCATGGGATGGAGGCCAATGAATCATTCCTCTATACTAGCATTTGCTGGGCCTGCAATCCTTTGCCCTCTTTCAGAACACCAGCTTTTTGCAAACTGGAGATGCATCCTTCAATGACCTTTGTGTCAACTCCAGCCACATTGTCTGCAAACTTCACTGTCTTGAGCCACTCCCGAGCATCTTCCTCCGAGTAGTCCAGCTCCGTGCTGATATACTTGACCGCCTCATCAGGATGACCGAGGAAGTACTTGGTGCCCTGGTCTAACTTCTCGAAAAGGTCCTTCAGCCGGGCATCGTTGTTCAATTGGGTACTCGAGGTCGAGGCCACAATCTTCCAGCTACTCCAAGGCGTGTAGATTTGACCGACCTTGCGTATCTCACCAGAGTCATAATACCTCTTGGACGTGAAGTGTTCCCACATGAAGAAGTCGGCAGTGCCGTCATTGACAGCATTGCGCAGCTTGTCAAATGTCTGCAGGATGACAAAGTCTGCATAGGGGGATGACGAGGGGGTGAGCCAGCCCTGCTCGTCAGCCAGCACGTAACCCATAACCTGTGAGCCCGATCCCAGTCGGGAAATGCCAATCTTGGAGTTCTTGAGCGAGCTCACGGACGAGATGTCCGGTCGCTCGGCACCAGTGGAGATGGCCCAGCCTGCCGTGCATAGAATGTGTCAGCCGCGCCATTATAGGAAACCTCAACATTTGTGAAGATGAGAAGGCGAATGGGGACAAGGACAAAAAAAAAAAGATGATGAAAAACCGGTTCTTACAAAGAGGAGTTTCAACATAAGTGCCCAAAATTCTATAACCGCCATCGTCGGGGGTGTCCTCTTTTCCCAAGCCAGCAACCCAGGCTTCGGTCAAACCAATGCCGACATCGATCTCACCTCCCCGTAGGGCTGTGATCATATGTCCGGTGCCAGATGGAAACGGGATCAAGGCGGCGGAAAGGCCGAAGTGTTTCTTTGCAAAGTGGATAGGTGTGGAGAAGTGCTCCGGAACGAATCCGATACGGAGGGGCTGTTGTGAATCTGCCATACTTGTCGTTTCTTTCTCTCCCTTCTTTGCTTGTTTTGGGAAATTGATCCTCTGCTCTATTCGTGGTTTGACCTAGACAGACAGACGGACAAATCGTTGCAAACTTGAGTTGCACAGAAACGGAAACGAGGTACGTAAGGGAAACTGGTCGTTTAGTCCCTTGGAGGGAAAAAAAAAATGAGTGATTTTGGGTCGTGCCTGAGATGGGGTCTATTGCAGACTTTTCTCACTCTCTTGTCATTGAGACACAAGACAAAACCCCCCCGACTATGCCGAAATCCCATCGTCTCAGGCCATTATGCAGGGACCTCCGCAGTTGTTTAGCTGTGTGGACATGACGTGCGAATTATTAATGACGGGCGGGGCAAAGGCGCGTTTGGGTAGGGTTGCAGCGTCTCACCCTTTTGTGACGGCTCGCAATCTTGTTCACGTGCACGCACTGGACTGAATCGCAATTGTATTATTCTTGCTTTCATATATAATGATAAATATTTGGTATATATGAAATCACATAGACGCAACGAGAGAAATAAATCAGTCAAGCCTATGCCTTTGTTAAAGTAGGAATAACTTGAGTAATATTGAGTAATACATACTTATTTTAGTATGTTTCCACTGGGGGCGCTGATAGCATTGAATGCCACAAGGCTTATTTATACATAAAGGGATAAATATAAATTACTTTTTTTTCTCTTCGGGGTGCGTACCATTCTTTCTGATCTTTTTCTCTTTCGTGTGGGGGAAGGAGTGGTCTTTATCTACTTGCAATTATAAGCAATGGTTTTACGGATTAAATAAATATATTATCGACTACGGAATATTAGTATTAAATGCAGCAGTGCATGTCTTAGTATAAATTAAATTTGCATGTCAATATATATAATATGGATAATGAGAGTTGCATATAACTTTATGGGCTGGTCATTATCGAAAATACATATTTGGCATAATTGTTATGATTAGCTGAAAACTGCAGGAAATATACACAAGCAACCTTACTCATTGTGTATGGGACGCGTATCTTGCCTGTTCGACTTACATAAGTCTTTGGTGCATTATTTAAAGTGTGCTAGTATTGATGTATTATCTGTCTGGGCTTCTAAGGAAGTGGCTAGGCTTATATGAAGATGAAATTACTCTTTGCTTTTAAACTCCTTGGTAGTACTAAAAAGATGGGGGAAATTTTTGGACGATGACTATGGTCGTAAAGCTATAATATTCTTATCTGGGCAGGATCACAAATATGCAGAGTTCATGCAGTGATGTTCTAGGGCATGTATTGTAGACTGACACATTGGTAAAAGGAAATCCCCCAAGAGGCTCCGTATCAGCTTGTTTGCCGCCGTTGACCGGAAGTTCTATGTATGTCGTTCAAGTAGCACGGTATCCGTGGCATTGTCTCAGTGTCTAGTCGCCGCAAAGACGGAAGAATAGCCAAATAATCATACGCTCACCTCAAACTTCATGTGCTTCACTGAAGAAGAAACATCCACGGACCTCAGATATCGCTGCTTTAGCATGTTTTGTTTTATTTTATTCTGTGCTGCGCAAGATTCTTCAATGGGTCATTTGCAAGCCGCAATGGACTCGCTCAGGTGACAACCACCAGAGGCTTCCGAAATATGAAAGCCTGCGACAACTATGATGTAGTCGCCCATTCTACATGGGCGGTCTCGTCGGGTCCGATCATTATGTCGGCCTTAAGATCCGCCAGCAATTGCTTTCTAGGCTTGATCTCGAACGTCTTTCCATCGGCGATCCCCTGAACTCTCAACTGATATGCCTTGCTTGCTTGTCGAACACCTGCCAGCTCTGTGCCAATCTCCCATAGTGGAACGGCACTCCATCCATGGCAGTCACTTCGCATCATGCTTTCGCTTTCCGCCCACGTTGTGAGCTTGTCGTCAATCATCTTCTTCCAAGGCTGCATAAGAGTCTCCCATGACTCCTCATAGACGCCAGCCTCGCTAACAGCCCGGAACACGTAAAAACCCATGGCCAGACTTGCCTTGGTCAATCTGTGCTCTTCCCGCTCGAGCACGGTGCGGCGCATGAGGGTTGCGGCACTGACTTCCTTCACAGCACCGGACAGCACGGCAAGCACCTGGACGTGCTGACTGCGCTCATCTATTGATCCGGGCCCATCCAAGAAGAAGCCGCTTTCATGGTCGAAGCAATGCTGCTTCACGGCCTGCAGAAGAGACCCGTGTCGCGATAGATATTCCTTGGCAGTATCTTTGCGGCCGAGGAACGTCTGCAATTCGCTTGCCTTGAGCAGCGTGTATGCGTACAGCAAGCTATGATACGTTGCAGCGCCCTTGGAGTAGTACGACTTTGGCACGGCCAGGCCAGTAAAGCCGCGACCGGGGGTGAACCACCCATCGGCCCAGTCCACAAACGCCCAGCAGTCGGGATCAAACTGGCCCACGAGACCCTGATCATTGATTCTGGCATCAAAGTAGTTCAGAATTCCGTCAATCGCACCCACATATGATTTGACTAATTGCTCGTCGCCAAAGAATACCATGTGGTCGTATACCATGAGGATCCAAAAGAGCGAGAATGTCGGAATGTTCATGCCGCGACCTGGACATGGGAAATGCGTCTCAATGAGGCCATCTTCTCTTCGAGAAGCATGGAATTCTTTCATGGCTTTTCTCGCCAATCTGTCGTCTCTGGAAATGAGGTATGTGAAGAGGATCTGACTTCGCGTGTCCATGGCAAATTGGTTCTGCTCGTAGAACGGACAGTCTTCATATGTTTCGTGCATGCAATTCCGTAGAGTATTGATACTGATATCCCACAGCTTTGAAATAAAGGGGGAGGATGTTTCGACTTTTGTGCCGACCTCAAGCGGATAGTGCGTCGAACGGTAGCTGAAGGAGTTCAGCGTCAAGGGGCTGGACTTTGTATCGATTGTCAATCGAATGAAGCGAAACGTTCGGAACCAGAATGGAGAGTAGTGGTTCTGTCCTCTATGAGGAACGTAAGTGTCCGTCATGCCGTACAATTGTCCCTTTTGAAAGTCTGTCCTGTCACCCTTGACGCGCGACGTCGACTCTTCCATTGGCTGTTCGTAACATTCTGAACAGAGAATCTGAAGAGTGGGCAAGTTGTCGTCCTGACCGTTGAAGGTGGCCAATAGATCGAAGAAGGCAGTTGTTAGCGTGCTTGATTCTATCTCGACCCAAGTACTGGTGTTGGCTGGGATCTCGAGCGCAGCATCGTTGAGCAAGAGATTAGTCCAGGCCTCTTTTGAGATTGGCCCATCGAGATTTACCACTCCCGAGAAACGGGCATAAATTTCTGGAAGAGCTGGAATCTCACGCGGAAATAGTCGCCGCGGGTCTAGGATGGGAGACATCTTCCTCTGCGGTGTGCCAAGAATCGCCGCCGGCCAGGCGCTGTCGTCATATTGCACCTTGTTCCAATCGAGGTCCAGCAATGGGCCTTCCACATTTTCATTCAGGCTCAAAAATTGAGGGCCTAGACGATAATCCCATTTTGAGTCCGGTACAAGTTGCGTGGCTTCATCCAGCTTTGCCTTCCAGCTTTCGTCAGTGTGAAGTCCGAGGTCCTGCTACAAGATTAGCCGTGTTCATATCGGGCGAGGCTTTAGAGACTCTTACAGCCAGCTGGCAGTGAACAATCAAACCTGGCAACGGGCTTCTGATCATACTCAGGCAGCCATCGTGGGCAATGGAGAAGCGCAGGACCCTGGCAGCCAACACGTTGACACCAACTCTCAAAAAGGGGGCAATGTTGACAGTCTCATAATTCCATCGGCTCAGGTAGCTCTTGCACGGCCCAAAGCTGATGCTTTGGCCATTGAGGTAGAGACGGTACCGTGTATCTGCCGAGACGTGAAGTAGGATCTCCCCATCGATCTTCTCCTTGACCTCGAAGCTCCTACGGAAGTTGACAAACTGACCCTTATTCGTTATATCGTCGTAGCCAGGAACCCAGATCCACTTGGCCTGGCCGGAGACGAAGGGGCTGTTTGCTGCCATGATGGGGGTTGTTAGATGTCGACGTGTGCAAGTGTCAACGCAGTTGATGAAGCAAGATGGCCCAACATCAACGAGTAAAGCCAACAAGTAAGTATATTGTCCCTAAACATTCACAACTTCACGATGTCACACAGAACTCGGACGCCTCTATGCCGAGCACGAGGTAGCGTAGACAATCACTGGGCCAGTGACGAGTTGGAGATTTGGGGATGTCCCCCACAATTCCCGGCAGATAGTCGATAGGGATTCTCCAAAAGCGGCAGTTCCGGATCCGGCACACACAGACGCGCGGCTTTTCCGGGCGCCCACTTCACGACCTTCCCCCCAAGCATCAGAAACCCGACCGGTTGCCACCTTGATGTAATGCTCTTGGGCCATTGTGGATAGGAACTGTGACAAATGCAACTGTCACGGGCCTTAGCGCAGATACCAAGCCAGTATCAGACAGGCGTTATCTGTTGATCCCTTTCCCCATGGGGGGATTAACCACTTGCCGAAGGAGACAGGGCTTTAGCGGCCATGCATGGGCAGGGGCCAAAGGGCTCCAGTGCTGTTGAAACTCTAATAATCGCCTATTATTATAACTTTAATGGACTTGAAAGAGCTGTTGGCCAGTATATTTAATATTGCCCGTCTGTGAGTGCTGCACATGGTCACTAGATTCTGCAAACAAACACACCACTGACATACGAGATGGCTTCCAGCATCAAGAATGACCCGGCTCTTGCCAGTGAGCCTGCACAAACCTCGCAGCCTAGGGAGCTCAACAATAACAGCAACTTTTCACCCACGTCCATTGCTGGCAATGACGACGAAAACTCCACAGCCTGGAGGGCACTAAAGCACAGCCCGTATATTCTGGCTTGTTGCTTCTACGCCAACCTCGGAGCCTTTATGTATGGCTTCGATAATATCACATTGTCGTTATGTCTTGACATGGTTCCATTCGTGTAAGAAGGAGAAACTGCCGTTTCATGGTTTGGGGCAATTTGCTAACAACATGGAAGCATGAAATTTGGGACTCTTGTGGATGGCGAATATGTCGTTCCCGCCTATTGGCAGTCTCTCTGGAACGCAATCCCACAGCTAATGACTGGTATTGGAGCTTGGATTTCTGGTCCGATTGCCGATCGATTTGGTCGAAGATGGACAATGTTTCTTGCTGGTGTCGTTTCCGTAGTGGGCGTTGCCATCATTTATACCTCCGAGACGAATGGACAATTCCTCGGCGGCAAGATGGTCAACGCAATTGGACTCGGAATGGGTAAGTTGTCATTTTTGAAACACCACAAAGATTGCTGTATTTTCTAACATGTCTTACTTTAGCACTGGCATCCGGACAAACTTACATATCCGAAATCACGCCCTTGAAGATTCGTGGTATTGCCCTGGCTTCATACACCTTCTGTCTGGTCAGTACTGCGATGCCGTCTAACCATGGTTGGTGACTTGGCTAACAAGAACCTGCAGGGTGTCGGTTATCTCATTGCTGCATCAATCTCATTCACTCGCGTCACAATTATGGACGAATCCGCCTACAAGGTCTTATTCGCCGCAGAATGGTGCTGGCCATCTGCACTGATGGCCGGAGCCTTCTTGATTCCCGAATCGTCCTACTTTCTCATTCGAAAGAACCGCATCGAACAGGCCAACAAATCCCTGTCCCGACTACATGGAAATAAACAGAGCTCAATTAATTTTGCGTTGCGTCAGATTCAGGATGTCGTGGGACACGAGTCAGAGATTGGTGACTCGAGTTTCCTGGAATGTTTCCAAGGAACTAACTGGAGGCGCACGCGAGTTGTATTGTACGGCAATGGACTGGCGCAAATGACCGGGGCAGTCTTCCTCAACAATGCCCCCTATTTTATGGTTCTGGCAGGCCTCTCTTCGACCGACGTCGCCATGATCATCGAGATTGGTATTGCCATGTCCATCTTCTCCAGCATCCTCACCTTCTGGGCCATGACCTTCATGGGACGGAGAGCGCTGGTCCTTGGCGGCACGGCGTTTGCCGGCGTCATGTTCTTCATCATGGGTATCTGCGCTGCTGTGCCCAACCAGAATGGCGCACTCAGGTGGGCTGTCGCAATTACCCTGCAGTTGGTATGGCTTAGCATAGGCCCAGCGAATGGGTCGGCGCTCGCTGTCGCTGCTGAGGTGTCCACCATGAGGTTGCGGGCCAAGACGCTCGCCATTGGGTTCTTCTTCAACTACTTCTACAGCACTGTTTGGAACATAGTCGTGCCATACATGTTTAATCCCGGCTACGGAAACCTTGGCGGCGAACTTGGCTGGGTCTTCTTTGGAACATGTCTTTTGTCCTTTGTCATTCTATTTTTCGAGATGCCCGACACCATGGATTTGACTGCTGCCCAAATTGATGAGAGATTCGAGAACAGAGTCAAGACGAGAGCCTTCCGAGATGAGAGTGCCGAGGATAACCACGCAAGTCTCAAGTCGATGGAGATGGGAAAAGCTGAACAATTTGAGACTCGAGCCACTTGAAAGATCTTGCTACTGAATTCAGTGCCTAGCTTAGAAAAGGCATCATTAATAAATCGATTGTACTCATGAAAATATATCAGAACTTCTGATTTAGTACCTAGACGCTGTATGATGGAACGCGACTCGACGAAGTGTCATTCTGTTCCTCCAAACTAAAAATTAGCACGATTCTTCCAGCATGGCAATAATGAAAGTATCAGTACGCCGCGAAACCATTTTTCAAGATCTGTTGCCGTTGACCGTAATCCTAGTCCAGACGCAGGGCTTGTGACATGAAAACACCATCAAGACAATTCAAGTAAAAGCTACAACTACTATAGAATTGTTTCTCCCACTCGTTTACAAAAGTCAGACCAACAGGTTCGTTTCCACATTTCGTGTTGACAAATACTTCGGCCATGAATGAATACCCGAGCGCAACGGTTCTTTCCCTCGGGCTTAGTTTGCGGAGAACCTTTCGATAGTCTCGCTGATAGCACGCGGTGTATGCTTTGACAACAACGCAACCCCCCCTGGATAGGTGGTCGCCTCCCAGGTAGTACAAATTCGGGTTCATTCGGCCGAGCTACGACATGGTTTCCCCAGGTCCCCTGAATAAGCCCAATGATCACAAGATTGGGGTCACCCACGTTTGGAGGCCAAGAGTCCCTTCTGCCTGACATCGAGTACCCGAGCTTACTACGTAAGTGTCCCATTCCCCGCATGCTGATTGTAGAGAGACAAGGTTACCCCGCAAAAGTTCCTGAATTTTGCAATGCTTTTTGACTTGCAGAGGCCGAGAGGATGGGCTGAACAAGCCCATCCATCCCCACATTCCGGAAGGACATACTGCCCCCGAATCATGACTAAAAAGACTACCAAGTATCCAAGGAGCTCAGGTCATCTTTCCTGGCCAGTGGCATCGGCAAGCGGATGGCGAGGCGTCCTGCCCCAAGTATGTAGGATTTCTGGTCCTGGGGACATGCTGTGTTGTGAAACTGTCCAAAGTCCAATAAAGAGAAGTAATTATTACTATAGTCAGTTGTGCGGCTCCACATTCCGAAATATCAAATAACGGTCTTCGAGGCATTCTGCAAAATCCTGGCAAAATCTCTGGCTTTAGGCAATTTCTACTCTTTTGTCTTGGCTTTTCACAAAAGTCGCCTCCTGTATATTCTGTAGTGAATGGAATTGCATGGTTTCACACATGATCTCGAATACTGGCCTCATCATTGCAGGCCTCCGACATCAAAGTCTTGCATTGTAAGAGTGAAGGAGGATATTCTGGGCTGAATGAGTAACAAGACCTCTTTCCCCGTTGGATTGATCGCCATGGTCGAGCTCCTGAATCTTATGGCTCTACCACTGCAGTAACATGCATTTAGCATTCCATGGTGTACTTATGAAACGCTGGAACCACTCATTGTCGAGAAGTGTATCCACACCAATCCTACTCGCCATGTCTGGAGAACGACCGCCTTGAGAAGAAAGGATGAGCCTGCGGTGCTCTGATGGTTGATTCTGCATATATCAAGGACCGAAATGCCTTGCATATTATGATCAACTGCATATATCAAGGACCGAAATGCCTTGCATATTATGATCAAATGCATTTGAATTCATTATCCGACAAGTAATGTGAGTGCCAGAGAATTTAATGGGTATAAACACCTTTCAATTCGATGGGAAGTCAGTTATTACGGCACCGAATAACGGTAAATCATAGATCCAGCTCGAGAGTGTGGTGAACTGATATTTTCCCCCAGTTCAACATCGACGGCAAAGCATCGCGGTACTCGGCCTGTATTCAACCAGGTCAACAGAAGAGATAATGGTCTCAGCCAATCGCGCTGAAGCCACAATAAAGGCTTTTTAGCATACATGGGTTACTGCGGGATTCAGGATTGCCATGCCATGGCTCAAGATTTCCTGCGCATTGATGTCTAAAGTCCCTTCTAAGATTTGGCTCAGACTCATTACACCGCTGAGACTGGCCATTTTATGTGGTTGGATTGATCCTTGTCATCCACATAGGCTCGTGGAGAATGGTCTCTTGTCATTGCATACAACAATGACTGTCATAATCAAAAGATAGCGCCGCCTTGCCAAACATTCGTAGCCAATGTGTTGGCTGATGCTTATCTAAAGTTCTGACTCCTGTGTCTTTATTTCGCGTCCCCTAGAAACTAAACCAGTCTCGACGCTGTTTACTGTGTTGATGATATAATCGGTCCACCAACGAGGCCGGCCGCGTATCCACATCTTGCCGGTTAGTATAGACGGACGACCCACAAGGTCGCGGGAAAGGGCGGCTCATTGCAACGGAAATGGGGACGCAATTCATTCCGCGCCCATTTGGCCAAACTCCTATATTCATCCGCTCGCCTACAACTGGCGCTTTGTCTCGGTGTCTGTCCTCGATGCTGAACCAAGTTGCAAAATTTTTTGTCTGCTCGTTCCATCTGAGCCCACTTTGCAAGCTTTCTGATGCGAGATAGAGGCACTTTTATCCACAATGGCATCAAGTTTCGGCTGCTTATGGATTGAACGGGGGAGCGGGTCGACTGCTCTATCGGCCTTGTTCAACCCTGCGTGGAGGAAATGATGGACTTTATCTCGGGCTGTGGCCCATCGAGGCTGAGGCGAGGAAATTCTCGACGTTCAAGCTGTCTGATTGCAGTAATCACCCCAGGAGGAAGTCCGTCGGCATCGACATGTCTTGCGAAGCGCCCATGGAAACAACATCTTTCGCAGAGATGCAAAGGTCCGTACAGGTTATTGGAGAGGGCCAAATGTCAGGGGGATGCAGAGAAGTCAGCCTGGTTCATTTTACACCCGATGACCCAGACAATCCATACAACTGGTCCAAGGTATGTCTCTTGTTCTTTGGATACTCTGCCTAGACATTCGTTTTTCAACCATTGAGGTCAACAAACACGATTTCATTTTGAAATTACAAAAATCTTTCTTTTGCGCTGACTTTAACAGGCTCGAAAAGTCGTCATCGTTTTCACGGGTATTCTGACCGTCATCAACAGCACGCTCAACTCATCTCTACCTTCCAATGCAATATCGTTCATCGCACCAGATTTCGGCATCAGTACGACTGGCGGAAACCCCCAACTCGTCCTACCCATATCCATCTATCTCGTCGGCTATGTGCTCGGCCCCTTGTTATTTGGTCCTCTATCCGAAGTCTACGGCCGTCGAGTACCCATCCTTCTCACCTATGCCGGCTACACAGCCTTTACTCTTGGCACCGCGCTGTCCCCGAACTGGGCGGCCCTGATTGTCTTTCGATTGTTGGCTGGAATCTGCGCGAGTGCTCCACTGACCATTGTCGGCGGCATGTTTGCGGATATATACGACGACCCCGTCACCAGAGGAAGGGCCATAGCTTTCTTCATGGCGACCATCACAACCGCCCCGTCCGTGGCTCCCGCTATTTCTGGGTCACTTTCCGAGAACTACTCTTGGCGCTGGACATTCTGGGCAGCGGTAATTATTGCGGCTGCATCATGGATACCGCTTGTCTTCCTGCCTGAAACATTTGGGCCGGTAATTCTCAAGAAGCGAGCAAGAAAGATGAGAAAAAACATGTCCGAGAAAGGCCAGGCTCCGGTTCAGTCGTATGCTCCAATCGAGCTGGAAGTCAAGGACTGGCGCCATGTTGTCGGGGTTGTCTTGGCACGTCCACTTCGAATGATGGTGACAGAACCTATTGTCATTGCCGTCTGCTTCTACCTGGCGATTATTTACGCCATCTTCTACATGTTCTTCCAAGCCTATCCCATTGTGTTCAAGGGTATCTATGGCATGTCTGCAAGCACGTCTGGTCTCATGTTCTTGCCTATCAGTGCCGGAACCTGTGCAGCACTGCTTCTCTTCTTCCTCTATGACGCCTTCCTCCAGCGTAGTCGACTCAAGGGAAAGCCGTGGACGCAGCGCGAGGAGAGTAGGCGTCTTCCTTTGGCTTGCATCGGCGGACCTCTTCTGGCTATATCCCTTCTCTGGATGGGTTGGTCAGCACGCGAAGACGTCCACTGGCTTGTGCCCTGCTTGGCGGGCGCTCCATTCGGATTAGGAAATCTCCTCATCTTCATGGCATTTCTTAATTACCTTGCTGATGCCTACAAGGTATTTGCAGCTTCCGCTCTTGCGGCATCTGCCTGCACGCGCAGTGTTTTTGGGGCAGTCTTGCCACTGGCAACAACTTCGATGTACGATAACTTGGGGGTGGGATGGGCCTCAACGCTTCTGGCCTTTGTTAGTCTTGCGATGTCCGCCCTTCCATTCATCTTCATTCGCTATGGCGAGGTGATTCGCTCAAACAGCACTTTCTGCCAGATGCTGAAGGAGAAGGAGGCAAAAGATCATGAAGTCTCTGAAAGTTCCTGATAATTAGGAATATTTTCATGTTTGGAACAGGTTTAAAATACTTTGTACAATATGAGAGAGAAAAAAGTAAATTCGGAAACGATAATCGTCTTCAAGCTAGAGTTAGATGCACCATCAAAAAGATATTGGCGCCTTAGGACAAGCGCTTGTTTCTCAAAGTCAAGGCGGCACAGAGTGCAAGGATAGAACAGCCCAGAGACACACCTGTTCCCCGAATCAGGAGCAGCACACTCGAGTTGATCGTGAATACTTACTGTAGCCCCATCGCAGTCCATCAACATAGGCACTTGTCACTGCGGCTGCGACTTGTCCACGTAATTTGTAGATGTATTCAACATTTCCGGCGGCCTTTGATATGATCTATTCAAAGACAAGATTTCAGAATAATGCAACAAATGACATGGGACTTAACTTACATCAAGTCTTTCTGCGACTTCAAGACCCAAGTTGACAAGGTTCTTGTCGAGGTGCTTTTGCATTACCTCCAGCATCAACGCGCTCGTGGCGGCAACGCCAGTGATCATTCCTACCGACACGGACAGGAATAGACCCGAGACTACGACGGCCTTATGCGACGGATCCACGATTGCGTTGATAGCTACAAAAACTGCCGTGTTTCCCATACCAGCGCCCAGACCACTAACGCGATTCAGCCAAAAGTATTCATCACGAGAGACGATGTCGTAAGAAGTCATCACTCACCCAAGGATGATGTAAAGGGATTCCCACCAATTGGTGTCACCCAGCCACCGTAAGATGAGCAACGTGTAAGATATCGTCCCAGCAGCCGAAGCCAGAATCATGGGCATCTTGTAGCGCCCAGTGCTAGACGCCAATAGTCTTAGTATATCGAAGCAGTAAACATCGGTTGACTGACGCACCGTTTAATGATACGACCGGTCAGTAGGCCTCCGATGGCATTACCAAAGACAGCTGGGAACAAGTGAGCACCAGCAACAGTGTTGGAGACCTTCTGGGTGACTTGAAAGTACAACGGTACGGCAAAAACGAGCTGGAAGCAAAATGAGAAGTCCCTTCGTGATAATGCGACGAGCCATCAAATTTGACACGACTTACAGAAGTTTGAGCTGCAGCTAGCAGGCCAATGACGAGGTAGCACGCGAGTATCTCTCTGTTCCTCAGCATCCGGATGGGGAAGACAGGGTTGGGTGCTAGCCAAGCCTCATTTGCAACGAAAACTCCTAAAAGGAGCACACCTATCCCCAATAGAACAAATATGAAGGGGTGCTGCCATGGGATCTTGACTCCTCCCAGCTCAAGTGGCAGCATCAGCACCAGGATTGAGAGGCCAAGCAAGAGAGTGCCGGCAAGATCGACGCGTATGAACAAGCTAGCCTGCCTGTGGCCTCTCTGTCCCTCTAGTGTTGATGTCCGTCGGGTGTTGGGTATGGCTATAATACAAGAGACGATTGCTATGATGAACATGGGAGCCTGGCCGAGGAATGACCTAAGCCCCATCATTAGTCGGACTTTTAGTCATGATATCTCGGAGGAAGCGTACCATCGCCACCCAACCTGATCTGTGAGAAACCCTCCAACGGGACCACCCAGGCTTCTACCGGTCGTGCTAATAATGTTCATATATCCGTGCCAGGTGGCCACCTCTCGGAGGGGGATAAGATCTGTCACCATGAAAGTCAGAACAGAACAAATGTATAGATTTACCATATCACTCTGGGCTCACCTGTAATCAAAACCAGGCCTATGCTAGCCATGCCGGAACCACCAGAGCCAGAGATGGCACGACCAAGAATTACTTGCCACATGGATTTAGCCAATCCTCTGATATGCCTTTTGTTAGCTAATCACGTTTGTCTATTTTCACTCTCTCATTTTTTCCTCATTTTTTTTTTTGAAAGTTCTTGTAGCGGAATTGGATCTGACTTGCATTGTGGTCCTGAATAAAGGATAAGCAAATTGTATCCGGAACATTGTGGGTGGTGTAGATCTTACAAGCCTGCAGCAAAGAGCGCATAGCAAAATACAAGAAGCCATTTGCGGCCATAGATGTCGCTCAGCTTTGCATAGAGTGTCTGAGTAGCAACTCCAGACAACAAGTAGCTGATGAAAATCCAGCTAGACTGGTCCAGTGCATGAAACTCTGAGGCTATCCGAGGATGGGTGGCCAACACTATTGAACCGTCAAGGTTGGAGGTGAAGAGTCCTGATTGTAAGTATGAGTAATTCCCTGCGCCGAGCAAAGAAATTTGTTTTTTTTTTGGTGGGGTGGACATTCCTTACCAATCGCCAACACCGCGATGACTTGGACAAGCGACGTTGTGTTGAGCGCCGGCTTGGCCTGCTGGTTGGCTGCAATGCTGGCTGCTGCATTTTCGGCATCGGGTTCGCCAAGTACAACAGCAATATTTGACTCTGCATCTGAAGAATCGGCTTCGGCGCTAGAGCTAGAGGCTGAGATATTTTGTGCTGAACGAATGCTCGAGGACGAACTCAAGAGCGGGGTTTGCTCGTCGCGTTGTTCTGACATTGGGAATATTTGTTAACGACCACGTAGCCTGGCGAGGTTACGATGCTTTCTCTCTATGGGTGATAGTTTCAATGAGTTGTATGATTTGGAACAAATTTTAGCCAAGAAGAACAGAACCCATTTCATTTGGTTCAAAAACATAATTCCGCGCCGTTATGGTTTAAGTCACTGTGAAAATGGGCAGAATGCGACATAAGCGGCTGTGAACATGATGCATGTTGGCAGGGATCGGAACATCGTCGCCCAATAGGAAGTTGCCCGAAATGAATATGTAGGATCACATATCGGATCAGAATTGATGAACCAGCAGAAGGAGCAGAATTACATATATATATATTTACTCCCAGCAAAACATTGATAGGTAGTAGTTAGCCAGCCATACGTGCAACTTTTTCATTTTGATTAATCGCAAGTAAACTCAGAACAATATGTTTAATCTTTTGATGCTGAGTCTGCCTTCATTCCCACTGATGCCAGTTTGCATCGAAGGTATTCACCTTCTGGCTATCATCAAAACGAGGCCCTTCTGCGTCTAGCAAAAAGCCCATCTCGCACCTGTCAAAGACAATGTTCCTTGCTCTCTCTGCGTAGAATGTATCAAACCTTGGCGACAAAGCATCTCTGAGTGTATCTACACTACCTGCAGGATGCAAAGCTTTCCATGGGCGCCGGCATGTCTCTGACTTGCAGTTCTTTAATACAAATAGCAAAGTATCCAGCCTGGAGACAACTTTCTCCAAAGGCTCGCCCAACAGGGTCGAAGGCGCCTTCTTTTGGGGATCGAGCAGGTTGCGCATTTGGCCTGGGTCGGACTGCGGCTTGTTAGCGTTGTTTACTGGATTCGGGGAATGAGCCCTTGACATGCCTTCAGATCATAGAGTTCGTGGTCGTTGTTGCACCAGACCTGGTAGTGTAGATCATAGTCCTTGCTAATGACCCTCAAAGCCTTGTAGGTGTTGTTCAAATACAATCTCTGCCATCCATCGAAGAGCTTCCCCTCGTTGGAGGCAAAACCCCAGTGCTCTACATTGACATGCTCGTGCCGGCTTTGACCAGCTTCCTGGAGGGCTTCTTCTGTCAGGGGTATGGCGAGGCCGTCGAAATCATCCCTCAGGGGAGCTCCGGCAATCTTGAGTAATGTCGGCGCAAAATCAGTATGTGTAGTCACAATATCAGCCACCGAGTCCTTGGGCACCCCTGGTCCACGAATGACCATTGGGATATTGATATCTTCCTCGAAACTATCAAGGGTCAGTGGGGTTGGCTGATTTTCTCTTTTTCTTTCTCAATAAGAACGTGAACAAACCTGCATTGCTTGGCCGGTTGAAGCCGATGCTGGCCAATGTGATAGCCATTATCTGTAGAGTAGATAATGTAGGTGTTATCCAATATACCATGGGCGTCGAGTCGCTTAACAATGTCATCGACCAGGGCGTCAACACTCTGCAGCGCGCGGAGTCGCTGTCTGTAGTAGTGGTCGTTGTAGGCAACATTCTCGTCGGTCTGTTTTGGCAATGTCTTGATCCAACTTGCGCCAGAGGGTTCATCGGGATTGAAGTTCTCGGTTCGGGGAACCTTGACGTCTTTGAAGAGCCCTTCATATTTGGCTTCCGGCTCGGGCACGGAGAAGACCACGTCGCGTATATCCGTGTGTTTCCCCTCAGCAAAACTCGGAGCCCAAATGTTTGCGTGTGGGGCTACAGGAGCTACGCCGAGGAAGAATGGTTTTTGCCCTGTAGCAGCTTCGTCAAGCAAGCCCAAGGCCTTTTCAGTCAGGACTTCCACGCTGTGTCTACCTTCGTAGCTCACGGGTGGATCGTGGTTGCGCTGGTATGTGCTGTTCTTGTACCAGTACGTAAACGGATCGAGGAGGAAATCCTAAATAGCCTGAGCAATAGAACCCTGGGCGGTTGATTGTTGGGGAGACGTACTGATGCTGTCCATCCAGCAGCGTGTGGAGAATCATAGTTTCCAACTGCATGAGCGTTGAAAAGTTTCCCCGTGTAGAATGTGTTATAACCTGCTTGTTGTAGCCATACCGGAAGATACTTGTCATTCAGGCCTTGGCTGAGAAACTTGGGATATCCACCTAGGTGGCTCTTAGTCATGGTGGCCGACACAGTAACAGGCTATTTCAACTGACCATATGGCGGGGACACATTGGTCACATTTGTGTTGTGTGCAGCTTTGCCAGTCCAGAGCGTCACGCGTGAAGGACAGCAGAGAGCAGTGGTGCAGTAGTGTCGTTTGTAGAAAGTTCCATGGGCGATGAGATGCTTCTGTACGTATGGCATATACTCCAAAGATCCCATGTGTAGGTCTTGGTCGTCGGTCAGGATAAAGACGATGTTTGGCCGGGACTTGGGCTGCTCGGGGCGTCGCTCAGGACCCAACATGGGAACCTGGCCGGCAGGTTCGAAATCCGGAGCTCCATTGGCCCAAGCGGCGCTCAGAAGAGCCAGTTGCACAAATTGTACCACGAGCTTCATCCTGATCGCAGCATAAGTCTATGATGTGATATGGATAAGGCTTAATTTGAGGCTGAAATGACTAGTTGTTTGCGTTGGCGGCGTTGATGAGAGTCTGAGGCGCAGTGCCGTGAATTGGGATACTTTTGGGCCAGGGATTCGACTGCCGCATTCAGCAACCCACCCCGTTCCTGCATGAGGAGGCAAAACTGACAAGACGGGCAAAGAGACCGAAAATGGATGAGCTCATAGAATAAGCCTATTGCGTGCTTAATAGAAGGACATGATGATTGCCAGTGTTGCAGATGGACGTTCCAGTCCATCAACTTGATGACATGCACATCAACTGACCAAATGGTGCAGATGCGATGCTCCCCCCCTCCGGTATAGATAGTGTGGTGACACGGCCAATAAAGTCGGCGGCGTGATCATCAACCCGCCGCACGGCTGAGTTGAACCCCGCATCTGCAGAGTCTGAAAAAGGCAGTTGTTGAGTAGGCGAAAACGTTGGACCACTGCCCCGGATTTCGAAGTGTGAAAACTGCATGAGCCGCTACTGATCCCATTGGTGGCCTGGATTGCTGCTCTGTGTGCGTTATGGCCGGGCCGACAGAGGGTGTCTGTCGCGTCGATGAAAATAAAAATGATAAAAAGATGCCAGAAGATCTCAAGGGCTGTAAGGATACAAGGCTTGAGACTAACACGAAATTGAACTTCACACGAGCGAGAGACAGCCTAGCAAAATGGCGACCGTTGTCCCGGATCAGATCGCGGCCGACAAGGTCATGTCCAAGGATGACGCCGAGTACGCTATAGATGAGAAGAGTGACACTTTTCGACCTTCGGCACCCCTAGGGAAACCTATTGACGAGAAGAAATTCTGGTTTCAAAGAACCAAGAAGAACTCATATGATCCGCATGCCATAGCTACCTTGGTAGGGAAATCCGTGAAAAGAACATGACCGACCTGTTTATCCAGCTAATCACTTCTACCCAGCCAAGCGTATTTGATGTTCCCGAGATTGCAGCACAGTATAAACCTCGAGATGACTGGTGAGACAGACCAAAAAGCCCCATGGTAGTACCCAGTGTACATGGATGCTCATGAATGATAGGGAGAACATTGGTCGCTTTGACCCTTCGGCGCGATGGACCTGGGGAGAAGAGTTCAAACTCATCCGAAAGATGGACTTTCGCATCATGAGCTGTCAGTCGCTTCCTCCTTGGGAAAATGCCGCCCGTATCTACGCACTGTCCTAAATACACACTGCTAATGGCTCGTCGTCTAGGGTGTATGGTGATGTTTATGGTGAGCATGAACCCGTTTGAAGAAACAATTATCTTTTCTCTTCCGTCTCTGCCCCTCTGAGTAATTTGTAGAGGATGCTAAAGGACGAAAACAAGGCAATGGAACTCGACCGGGCCAACCTGGCACAAGCCTTGTCTGATACGTTCTTGGAGGACCTGGGTTTCGATACGAATGGTAAATCTTTTCTGAGAATGACACTGAATCTCCGTCAATGAAACCAAAGGCTGATGGAATCCAGTTTATAATCTCGGGAACACCGTCTTTGCAGTCTGCTTCTTGTCGGGAGAATTCCCGTCGCAGCTTCTGAACAAATGGCTTGGACCCGATCGATGGATCCCGACACAGATCATTCTCTTCTCCATTGTGTGCGCTTCTCAGTTTTCGCTCAACTCAAAGGCGTCTTTCCTGGCATGCAGAGCCTTCCTAGGGTTCTTACAGGGAGGATTCATTCCAGAAGTACATCATAGAATCTTTGGCACGCTTGAACAGAGGGCTGGCGCTGACCTGCGAATCAGATTGTGTTGTACCTCTCGTACTGGTACAAACACCACGAGTTGACCTTGAGACTCAGTTTCTTCTGGACAGGCATGTTCATTGCTGATATACTGGCTGCCATCATTGCGTATGGTTTACTTCATATGCGCGGGGTGCAGGGCTATTCAGGGTGGAGGTGGCTATTTCTGATCGAGGTCAGATTAAACGACTGGCGAACGCAAGAGCATGAGCATCACTGACAATCGTCTAGGGATTAATCACGGGGACTGTCGGCATCACCTCGTACCTACTGATCCCCCCAGGCCCTACACAAACGGCAAGCTGGTTCCGTGGCAAGCACGGTTGGTTCACAGAACGGTACGTTCCCCCAGATTACCGAGACTTGGCCCAACTGACGCTTCAGAAAGCGAGGAGACCATTATGGTTAACCGCCTGATACGAGACGATCCAGGAAAGGGAACCATGCACAACCGACAGCCAGTCACTCTATCACTGATCTGGATGAGTCTAAAGGACCATGATCTTTGGTTGGTGTCGTGATGCCTCGCGAAAATTAAATTGACGACGCAGCTAATACAGACAATCTCAGGCCATTGTACATTATCGGCATGTGCTTCAACATTCCTACACTGACTCCAACACAATATCTCATTCCGTCGCTACGTGCGCTCGGGTTTACCACTTTCGAGTCCAACCTTTTGACTATTCCCTACCTGGTTGTCAAGAGTAAGTTACAATACGTGCTCCTGGTTGCAATGCACCGAGTCCACGCAACCTGGCTAACCTTTGACCAGTTTTCCTCATGCTTGGACTGGCCACACTTGCAGAAGTGACCGGTCAGCTTGCTGCCACCGCTTCACTGCTGCAATTTTGGTCTTTGCCTTTCCTCATCTACCTTCGAGTTGTCGATACTACCAAGGTATCCAAGTGGCTGACCTGGGGCATGACGAGCTTGCTTTTGGCTGCACCTTTGGGTCTGTGAAATTGTATTCTGTTGATGCCGAAGTATATCTTTCTTCTGACTGTCGCTTGCAGGCCATCCCGTTCAAGTCGGCTGGGTATCTCGAAATGCGAGTACTGTTCGTTCGCGAACTGTTGGTGCGGCACTCTACAATATGTTCTTGCACGCTGGTGTCATCACCTCGTCGAATGTATACCGGGCCGATGATGCACCGCTCTACCGCCGTGGAAACAGTATACTCATTGGCATCGCCTGTCTCAACATTGTCTTGTACGGTCTTGCAAAGCTGTACTATGTCCGACGCAACCGCTTGCGAGATGGAAAGTGGCAGGCCATGACTCCAGAGGAGAAACTAGTTTATCTGTCCGAGTCAAAGGACTTGGGGAACAAAAAGCTCGACTTCAGATTTGCTTCTTAGTTGCGAGAAGGGTAGGTTGGGTCGCCGACTTCACATGCGGCGCAAGTTGGACATTTGTTGGTATACGATAGTGTCCTGGCGGTGCGTCTGATCAAATGCAACAATCATGGCTTTCGCATATGACAAGGCCGCAATAACCACCATGACGTGCATAATCTGGTGGCTAGCACCAAGGAGATCGAAGCGACGAGGGCAATACGCTTCGGGGAACTGTTCTACATTAGCTATTATTGAATCCAACGGGCACACCACCGCCATCGATGAATTACCTTGAGAGCATAGGCGATAACGCCTACTCCATTGAAAAGCGCTGTCGTACCGATCCATGTGAGGCCAATCCTCGTGCTCTGTTCTGAAAGACCATACAGCCAAAGGCCATGGATGATGGGCATCAGGAAAGAGCCCAGACCAAATGATCCAAAGAGAACTGCCCTCACATGTCCCAGATGAGGTCCCCCAACGGAGGGATGGAAAGTTGCTAATAAACACAGGCCGGCAAGTATTGTCGTCGTTACCATGTATATCATCTGCATATACTCTCGAGATGGGAATGAATAATAGACTAGGGGAAAGGTCGATCCCCACATGAGCAGGATGATTCCACAATAGTCCAGCTTGATTCCCAGTGCGTACGACTCCCTACTAAGATGCATAAAGGTGTGGAATCTGTGGATTGCAGTCAGACTTGGCAAATGCCCCCCCAACCGAGACGATGGAGATGGAGATACTTGCATAGTAGAAAGGGAGAAGCAGATTGCGACCCCGGTTAGATATATGCTGCAAACTAGAATGTCGCTAGTTGTGGCTACCTCTACCCGTGAAGGGATGCCAGTGCTGAAGATCAGATAAGGCAGTGACAGAAAAAGCAAAGCCCCAGTCATGTGAGAATGGATATTGACTGCGGTGATATTAGCAAGTGATTTGCGTCTGATGTGTAGATCAGATATCCATCGTATCGTACCCGACTCATTGTGCAGGTAGGTCCAACTGCGAAGACAAGCCAAAAGCGACCCTGGAACTTGCCTTGCCTGGTGTCAGTGTTTGATTTGTAATGGCATGAAGCAATATGGTTAGACTTACCTATAGCCTGTTTGTAGGTGTTCACTGCCTCGTCTATGTAGGCAATGTTAGACGATTGTCCACAGCTAAGTAGACTGCAGTGGCGGATGGGCATACTCACTGACGCCAGTTCGCTGAGAATAATGTCAGTGTCTTGAATGCCAGTGTATATCCTGTATTTATACACCATTGACTTACACAACTCTGAATATTCGAGCAGACCTTGCGATTTGGGCTCGCGGGTCAAGTTTGTCGTGACACTAGGACCTGTTGATGCATGATGATGACCAGAGCGGCTGCGAGTACGAGTAAAATCCAGGTAGGTGACAGCAGTCAATGCGTGGGAACCAGAAGATGAAGAGACTCGTTGCGACGATCTACTCATTTTTAACTCAATTGGCCATGCACAAAATGTTTATACAAGGTCGAGGTCCACGAGGCTCGCTTTGTAGACTTGTGAAAGCAGCAGGAAAGACGAAAGCAACGAAACGTCGCCCAACCGATGTGGTGTGACATATTCTCTCGTCCTCATGGCGGCCGCTCTTGTGTACCTTGGATCCGCCAAAGTTTACGCATCGGGCAAGATGCAGAATTGCGCACTGATCCGCAGATCCGAGGATGGTCAAACGTCAAAACATGGCCCCTTGTTGACCGTTGGGTCTCAGTGCTAACCCAGGAAGTAAAGCGAGACAGAAACCCCCGGGGAAATCCACCACGCGTTGACATTACAAAGGGCATGTTTCGTTGAGCATGAAAACTGCTTCCGTTAATCGCCCAGAACCTACTACTAACAGAGTTAAGATATTCAGCGTGCATCAACAAACATGCTGCGCGACTAGTATATGAACAGTCAACAGCCTCGGCCAGAGTCACGATCTTAACACACACACAAATAGCTGCCACAAAATGCGCCTTGACCGTTGACCACAGTGGATTATTTTAGTATATATTCCGTAGTGGTGCCCACATGGGAGTCAAGTATGCAGCAACACAATCTTCCCAGCCACCTTCAGGCTGTGCGGGGCCATGACAGTCAATCAGCACATACATATTACCCTCTCTGATCGCACCGGGCCGTGTTGCACGAGATGTTCCCAGATCGGAGTCGAGACGGGAGAGATATCACAAGCTACGGGCTCGGTAACGGTCGTAATCCACCTGTAGTCAATAATCAAAACTGCATATGTTGCGTCCACATGTAGTCTTGCATGTGCGGGAGCAGCCCGTTCGAACAAGACTAACCTTTGGTGGGTCTAGTGTAGTGTACAGACAGGCGGCGGCATTGAATCTAGTCGACGGAATTGGTACGTGCTGCATTGAATCTGGGAGTCTTGATCACTGTGTTCCGATGATGCCGATGTGATGTTGATTTAACAAGTTACTCGTTTTAGTATCATGCATGAGTGCTCGACAAATTGGGATGGTTTATTAGAGTGACAAGACTGTTTGTTTGTTTGCAGCTTTGGGTAGTGCGTATTTTACTTTGGCAGTTTGGTAGTATTGCGCGGAATTCTAAAGTGCCGCCGCAATGGGGGGTTCCGAATCTTGGCCACGTCTTTTTCATCGCTTCCCCCTCCAGGCCTGAGATCGAGTTTGGAGCCATGCGAGGCATTCCACTGATACCAGTAAGCAATTTCATATCGGGCCTTAGCCAGGTTGTGGCTATACATGGTCACAATGACATATTATTATTTGTCTGCGCATCCTACAATGATCCTACAATTTTTTCTTCTTCGCATTATCATGATTTTTTTTTTTTTTTTTTTTACTTCCCCGTCCCAGTGTGCTTCCTCCGACATTCCTCCATAATCCCTGGCCTATTGGAGAAGCCCGCTGAAGGGCTGGCTTAAATAGCTAACCTAGGTGATGTAAGTAAAAACTAATACGAACTGCTAAATACATACCTGCCTGACCTTTACATAAGCCAGTCACTTGATGGGATCCCAAAAATAGCTCATAGAGTAAGACGGCACTTGCTCGAGTCAGGATCCAACTCTACACTTGTTACTGGCAACATGATTATCCAAAGAGCTGCAAGGCAGGTGTGGTCACTGGCGGGTAGAGGGTGTGCCGAGTAAGTGGAAGCCCTCGCTCACGACCTTTGTAACATGACATAGTTTGGCTGGATTGACAGGGCTTCGCTGCGTTTCTATTGCTCCACTGTGGTGTATGGAAACGTTGCGCGTCTTCAAGACATGGAGTACAACTAAAATACTAAGCTCTGCTACAGAGAGAGCATAGCCACATCGTGTCCATGACTACATACCTGGGTATTCATGAGGTTGTTTAAAGGAATCAGTAGCGTGTGATGAGCTCTGCTTTGTCCAGAAATAGTCGTCGTCTTGTTGTTTTCTACAACCACTACTGCTGGCCTGTACTTTGCGTGTAGTAGTCTACTAACACTAACTGATGGCGACAAGTTCACCGCGGCCGCAAGTGGTCAAATGATACACTATCAACACCGGTAGACGTGTCCCGTTGCGCCGGCTGAAGATCTTGGACCCCTGGCACAGACAGGTGGACGAGTGTCGAGCGATTCCCAAGACTTTACACAGTAGGATCCAGGCCCGGAATGAATGCCAAAAGGTGTCATTGGACTCGTCGTGCTTCAAAGTACACGGGTTAGGAGGCAGGGAGGGTGGCCTAGAACAAGGTTTCGGCCCCATTGATGAAGCGCTCGGAACATGGCTGAGGCCCTGGAATCCGGAAAGCCTGTCCAAGCTTGCCAAGAAGGGCCAAAGACGTTGCCCCCCCTCCACCTTTTGCCCTGCGCCTACTACCTAGTGTACATACTATGTAGTAGAGCAGTGGAAGCAATGACGACGGCCGCTGGCGAGGGGGGCTTTTGGCCAACATGGAGGCAAAGGAAGCTTAAATTTCTAACAACCCCTGCTGCATTTTCTTCAACTCAATGTACTTACTCCACACGTGTGTGCGTGTAGTGTAGAAGGGCAGGCAGCAGCTATGCCCGAGTTCAGGTAATGTAGTGCGTAGTGATTCAGTGAACATGTGTGTGTGATGTAAGTGAGGGGATAGGCAATTCTCTGCCATTGTTGTTTGTGTATTCGATCAAATGTGGCGACACCACAACTAGGGAATGGATTCAGTTGAAAGATTCGATTCCAAAATTATTATTCCCGCTTGGTCTACTGTACTTTATTTCCTCCGCCCACTTCATTTACTGCCGCTTTGCTACTGCATACCACCACTATTGCAACTTTACTTGCCTTACTACTTTCATCGAAAAGACACGCTCTACATACCTAGCTAGGTTTCCCCGTCCTAGATCAGCTTCCCCGGCACCTCTCAAGCCACCAAAAGCTGAATATCAGCTACTTGCGAACAAAGCCAGCCAGCCAGCCAGCCAGCCAGCCAGCTAGCTACAATAGCTCAGCCATTATGTTTCTCATCTTCTGCTCGCGCTTCTGTTAATCTCTCAGCTCCCGCTTGCTACTTCTCTTCTTCATGGCCTTGCTCCCCCGACATTCTTTACATGTCTATGCTATACTTGCCGCCTGCTCCAGCGGGATTGACCACTCCTAGCTGCCATGAGTCCCTACACTTCATCTGCTCATAGATATTGTCTACCTGAGCTAGGCCACTAGAGGACTGCCGTCACGCGGCACTCATTCATCATGGACAGCCACTCTGCACCAGACCCTTCTGCCTCATCGCAGAACGAGCAAAGCCACCCAAGATTCAAGCTCACACAGATCAAGACGCACTCTACCGCTGCCGTCTTCACCCCTGGTCACAAGCACAAGTCTAGTGTCGCGACGGCAAGCATCGACGAGCCGCGCTTCGATATACAACATTATCGCTCGTGGGCCCGGAAACAGAGGAATAGGGCCCGTTACAACATTTGGTCCAGGCTCGATAATGCCTTCAATGCTTGGTACCAGAAATGGATTATCGAGACGTTGCTAAGGCAGTAAGTTGCTCTCTCCCTCTACTCGACTATTGCAGGCTACGAACCTCCTAATGACATAGGTCAACATCTTATGTATATTGGCCTACACATATATTCCCCCACCCCAATTCATTCGCTTGGATGCCTTGTATCTGACCCTTGCATGTAGATATCCCCTTCCACCGAGCAATGATGGGCGTCATGTCCCCTTGGAATTTGGTCGTGTGCGAACAACACCATTGACAGATGAGCGTACTGGAAACAAAAAGCCATACGTCTCAAACTTCATTAGATCCACTCGTTATACACTATGGAGCTTTCTGCCGAAACAACTTTACTTCCAGTTCAGCAAGCTGGCAAATTTTTACTTTCTCATCATTGCCATTCTTCAGCTCATCCCTGGCTTGAGTACCGTGGGAAGTTACACCACTATGGCTACATTAATTCCGTTTGTTGCCATCAGCATGGCAAAGGAAGGGTGGGACGATTACAGGAGGTATAAACTCGACAAGAAGGAGAATCGTAGCCACGTCTTGGTCCTCGACCCCGAGAGGACTGTTACTGACGCAAAGGTGGCCAAATTAGCCACCACCATGGAGTCTCGAGCAGACGCAGAAGTGGCTGAATTGGATGACTTGTCCTCCGACGAGAACCTATGGTCGCATATTCAATGGCAGAACCTTCGAGTCGGCGACATTGTACGCCTCCGCCGCGACGAGAGTGTGCCTGCTGATATTGTCCTGTTGCATGCCTCCGGCCCATCGGGGATTGCTTATATCGAGACCATGGCTCTAGATGGCGAGACTAACCTCAAGAGCAAGGTGGCCTGCGCCCTGCTCGCCAAACGATATCATGACCTCGGCAACCTTCGACGTTGCACGGCTGAAGTCGTGTCAGAGGATCCAAATCTCGACCTATACAACTACGAGGGCCGCGTTACCCTGAATGGAGAAACAATGCCCCTCACCCTCAACGAGGTTGTCTATCGAGGTTCCGTCCTGCGAAACACGACGCACGCCACTGGTCTTGTCATCAATACCGGAGAAGAGTGCAAAATCCGCATGAATGCTAACAAGGAGATCCACGCCAAGTCGCCGGCGATGCAACGAAAAATTAACCACATTGTTTTATTCTTGGTTGCCTTTGTCGCATTTCTCTCCGTGGGGCTCACGACAGCAAACGCGATTTGGAAACATCACTACTTACATAATGGCTGGTATATTACCTCGGTCTCGGTGAAAGAGATACTGATTGGCTATATCATCATGTTCAACACTCTCGTCCCGATATCGCTGATTGTCAGTCTCGAAGTCATCAAGCTTGGTCAGCTACTGCTTCTTCAGGACGTCGAAATGTACGACGCCGAGACGAATACTCCCATGATTGCCAATACGACTACCATCTTGGAGGACCTTGGCCAGGTCGGCTACGTCTTCTCGGATAAGACCGGCACCCTTACCGAGAACAAGATGCGATTTCGAAAGTTGAGCGTGGCTGGTAGTGCATTCTTACATGACCTTGATGTCAGGCGTGAAGAGGCGGAAAAGCAAAAGCGAGCTGCAACTTGGAAGGGCAAAGGCAAAACCAGAAATATGGACTCTGCGTCTACCTCCCACCCGAGCCACACCGAGGCAACGAAGACACCGCTAATCGAGCATGAGACGAGCGGTCCGAGGCGCTCTTCGAGCATCGCTTGGGCTTCTACCGGCCGCCCCGCCCACGCGCAGCCTGACGTAAACACGGAAAGTCTTCTGCATTACATTTACCAAAAGCCGAACACGGCGTTTTCCAGAAAGGCTCGCCATTTCCTCCTCTGCATAGCTCTTTGCCACACCTGTCTTCCAGAGGTGAGGGGCGACGGCCAGATCGAGTTTCAAGCAGCCTCTCCTGACGAGCTAGCTTTGATCCAAGCAGCACAAGAACTTGGCTATTTGCTCATTGACCGACCCTCCCAGGCTGTGATACTCCAGATTAAGCAAGGCAACGATGGTCCTTTGTCCACCGAAAGATACGAGGTCCTTGATGTAGTTGAGTTCAGCAGCAAGCGCAAGCGCATGTCAATGGTGCTTCGTATGCCGGATGGGCGCATATGCGTCATTTGCAAGGGAGCGGACAGTGTGGTCCTGCCCCGTCTCAAGCTGGCTCATCTAGCGATGCAGAAAATCTCAGACATCAGCCGCAAGGCAACTTTGAGAAAGAGCGTCGAGGCCTCTCGAGCGCTTCAGAGGAAGAGCATGCAGCAACAGCGCAGCATTGACATTGTCAGAGCCGCTTCTGCAAAACAGCATCACTACAGAGGAGTCAATGCGCCGAACCGAGCCTCTCTGGTGAGTGGCGAGGTTGCCCATTGGCTTGATGAGAGGGAGAATGAAGACCTAGACGACCAAGGACACGGAGAAGCATACACTAGTCCAGTGGTGATGTCTCCTGTCTTTTCTGGTGCTGACGGTGAATTGGAGGGACTGGTAGACGAGTCTATTGCCTGCTCGGATAGTGCCATTTTTGATCGTTGTTTCCAGCACATCGACGATTTTGCATCCGAGGGACTCCGCACCCTGCTTTACGCCTATCGCCATATATCCCAAGAGGACTACGCCTCGTGGCGGAAGACGTACCAAGCCGCAACAACAAGCCTGGTAGATCGGCAGAAGCGCATAGAAGAGGCCGGCGATTTGCTAGAGCAGGACTTTGAGCTCGCCGGGGCAACAGCCATTGAGGATAAACTCCAGGCCGGAGTTCCAGAAACCATCGACAAACTGCGAAGAGCAAACGTCAAGGTCTGGATGTTGACCGGCGACAAGCGCGAAACCGCCATCAACATCGCACATTCTGCTAGAATCTGCAAAGCCTTTTCAGAGGTCTACGTGCTTGATGCAACAAAGGGAGAATTGCAGGAGACCATGGCTTCGACGCTTGTTGAGGTTGCCCGTGGCATGATTGCGCACTCTGTTGTCGTCATTGATGGCCACACGCTCAGCGTTGTTCAAGAAGATGTGACGCTAAGGGCAATGTTCGTCGATCTGGCAGTCAGATCGGACTCAGTCATATGCTGTCGTGCATCGCCCTCCCAAAAGGCACACCTGGTCAAATCTGTTCGGGACGCTGTGCCTAATTCAGTCACACTCGCCATAGGCGATGGCGCCAACGACATTGCCATGATCCAAGCATCGCACGTTGGCATTGGCATATCCGGTCGAGAGGGTCTACAGGCGGCCCGTACGTCTGATTATTCAATCGCGCAGTTTAGATTCTTGCAACGATTGCTCTTTGTTCACGGGAGATGGAATTACCTCAGAACAGGAAAATACGTCCTGGCAACCTTTTGGAAAGAAATGTTCTTTTTCTTGGCTCAAGCACAATTCCAACGCTGGAATGGGTACACGGGCACATCACTTTACGAAAGCACTGGCCTTGCCGTGTTCAACTCGCTTTTCACATCGCTCTGTGTCATTATTCCAGGCATCTTTGAGAAAGATCTCGAGGCATCGACGTTGCTCGCTGTCCCAGAACTATACACCGTAAGTCGAGGGATCCTTGAATCTGCTTGAGCCCGGATAAAAACTAACTTATCTTTATAGTACGGCCAAAATAATGAAGCATTCAAGTATACAAAGTACGCAGGATGGACGACCATGGCCATTCTACAAAGTCTCATAATGTACACAATCGTGCACTACTTGTACGGTTCGCACGCTACCGACCTCTTTGCTATTGGCCAGCTTGTTTTCACCGTTGCCGTAGTGTTCATCAACACCAAACTATTCATACTCGAAATGCACAGCAAAACCATCATCCCGCTCATCGGGTGGCTTCTCATGGTCGGTGCCTGGTTTTTATGGAACATATCGATGGCTGTCTCGGGAATAGCACACAAGAACCAGCAAATTCAATTTCCCGTAAACAACAACTTCACCAAAGGCTTTGGGGCACAAGCGCTCTGGTGGGTCACATGTATACTTACCTTGGCGGCCTTGACCGTTTTCGAGCTCTGTGTGTGCGCTCTGAGGCGTGTCTACTTTCCTAAAGACCAGGATCTGTGGCAGGAAATCGAACATTTGGGCGCAGGCAAGGTTTTGGAGGAACATGCTGCTGCAACCGACATTGAAAGAGGCGAGCATCAAGGCGCCGCCATCACATCTGGTTTGGGGGGCGAGGCCTTGGGGAAGATTGACAGCGGCGGGACGGTCGAGCCTTAGACAGTAGCAGAAGACGATGATCAAGACCATGACTTTTGCCTCCGTTATTTTATGACACTGCTTGAAATGAAACATGGACCAAGATTTGCGACTTATTACCCGGTAGCATCGCTTTCTGGCACCGTCTTGCTTTTCCTACATCACAACAATTTCAACCGCAATCTTGGAGCTGCTAACGTATTGCCCTGCTCCTAGGGATTATGAGGGAAGACTTTTGTAAGGAAATAAGCATATGTGCAAAAGGGAAAGAAGGATGAAAAGTACCTAGGCAATCACATTTGGACATTTCCTTGCAGACAGACAGCGGGAGAAAAAGCCAAGCTGGGAAGCAGCTCGTGTGCCGTCCAAAAGCTCAAGATGCGGCTGACAAGCTTCAACCCATGCTAGAGAGGGAGCAGACGTGAGCCTGTAGGGATGAATTTGTGGGCTGAGCAAAATAAAACGTAATCAGGACAGGCAATGATTTCAGGAAACCAGCCCGCCGTCCCGCCGTACTAGGAAAGAAATCCAGAAGAACAGGAACACATTAGTCAATTACGATAATATTGGTTTCACGGTACCTTGCCCTATCAATGATTCACTAAACCATTGAGCCCATAGACTGTATTCATATGGTCATATACGAAGCCAAGAAGCTGAATTTTAGTTTAATGATTCTTTTATTTTTTCCCCATATTATAACCCGAGCCGTGAAGTCGTGATAAGAAAAACACAGCTGACAAATCTCTCTTGAACTGCTGAAAGTCTAAGTGTTAACATGATGAGTGATCTAGGCTTCCGCCATAGACATCACACATGCCAGACACAAGGGCTATCAGGTGTTCACCACTATTTCCGGATCCTGAAGCGCCAAAGCGCACTTTATCGCAGGCTGCCTGTCCATCATTTCCAACGGACTGTCCTGCTCACCAGAGCTGGCTTCAAAAGTGGAAACCTGGCCCCGTGCCCCCCCTTCCTTCGGCCTCATCCACTAAAATTATTAACCAGAAAACCCAAGCCTCCTGGGCTTTCCACCAAGTTCATCTATTTTGTTGCTTCCTGCAGCCGAGAAATAAAACAAATATTGCCCTGTTTCATAATGCGAAATAAAAGGAGACAACAAGACAACAGAATTCAAGAACAGTTGCCGGAAACATACAGATTCGAGTATCGCGGGGATGATACGCAAATGGAGCGTAAGACAATTCACAGTATTATCGCTTGTGTTGCTGCCGCGAGACATGGAGAAAAAACAAAACATCGCCTCAAATTGAGAGTTCAACCACTCTCGGGGACAAAATAGAGTAACATGGGGGATTGCCCAGAAACGTACAATCGCTGTGCCAGACGCAATGTCGAAAGCCAATATAAGGTATCGTCATGCAAAATCCCATGGCTGGTGGAGTTGATGAAGGTGGCGAGAACTGAATAAACGAGGCTCATCCGCCGGAGGGGGTAGTTCGGAGTTGGAGTGTAACAGTAAGGAGACAGTGCCACCAAAAGCAAAGAGGTATATATTGCCAAAACGCCAATCGAGCGAACATCAATGGTATCGAACCCAAAGCCAAGTACGTGTGTAATGACATGACCAACTCAGCCATCCCTTTGTAAGCATCTTCTTATTGTTGGTGGTGCATGCTCTCAGGTGTGCTGACATGGTCCATCCCGTCAAATTGCACCAGCTGGTTCATGTCCAAGTCAGCTTGGTTCGAGTCGACATAAGCCGGCGAGTGAGGGTGCATAGGCAGATTGATGGTATGCTTCGAGTACATCTCATTCAAGCTGTGTCCGTCTTCTGAAACAGCAGACTCGCCCATGGGGTAGATGTCAGCAGACGCACTGCGCATCATGCCCATCGGAGGAGATTGCTCAACAATGGCAGGATCACCATGTGTAAAGGGCAGAGGTGACACGGATTGAGGGATCATGCTCTGTGGTTGCACCATTGGCGACAAGAAGGTGCTACTGTAGGGGGTGTTGTAGCTTGATGCTGGGAGTGGCGTGTGCTCTGGTGCCTGCGAGAAGTAGTTTGAATTGGTCGAGTACTCGGAAGGCGCGCTCGTGGCAGCTGACAAGGGATATGGTCGCAAATCCATGCCGTAGCCAGCCTGAGTATCGATTCGGAGACCCGGTCCTACGGGGCTAAGCTGATGAGGGTGCTGAGGCACCGGCGCGAACACATTGGGGCTATGCGGTTGGGGCTGGCTTTCTCCAGGGTGCTGAATGAAGAATGATGGCATCGGGTTCTGGAAGAGCGAGAAGTCAACCGGGGCGGGGACGGAGCGGCTGCGTTGGCGCTTGTGGCCGGGACCGCGCATGCTCGCATGAGCGGGGCTGATTCCCCATTGCGATTCCTGAAACATGCCCACATGAGGCTGAGCAAAGTTCGGCTGAGACGACGGACGATTGGTTGGCGAAACGGGTGCCGACATGGACAAGGCGTGGTGGGTCTGGTCGAGGAAGGGACTCGGGTTGTGGCGATTCATGAACGATTCCAACGACACGAGCTTTGCCAGCTGGCCACTGAGGACCTTAGGTGTACCGCCCAAGTGGTGAATGAAGCACTGGGTAGCTTGCTGGTCCTCGGTGAAATCGCCGCACTGGAAGAAGCCGTTGGAGTTGGGAGAAGAGTCCATGAAAAAGTTTGGCGGCCGATTCAACTCAATGACGATGCCGGCAGGCTTGCTCGGGTCGCCTTCGGGGTTGTCAAGGTAAATGTTCTTGATGGCGCTGAAATGATACTCAATTTTGTACCCGGCCTGGTCGTTGTTGATGTAGTACGTCATGGTGCACTTCTCGGGTGAGTAGAAAATTATTAGATCCATCGTGTTCTGTCCAACACGAGTCCATTTGCCGATGGTCAAAGAACGGCAAGTAAGATGGTGGATGAGAACTTTGCCCTGGCCGCCTTGATCGCCGCCCAGCATCATTGACGTGCCATAAGGAATCAGACCGGTCCGTCCCAAAAAGGCGCCACCCATGGCCTTGCCAGACTCCATTGCCTGCATGGCGAGATACGCTCTCATCGACTCGGGTATCGAGTCAATGTCCTCGCCTGTTTCCAGGCTCTTCTTGGCCAATAGCTTTATCTTGGCGCGTCTGTTTGGTCAAAATGTTAATCATGCAAACATAAACCAAATATCAAAACACGCATGCGGGGACGTTACTCACCTGTTCTGGAACCAGATCTGAACAGACCTTTCGGTCATGTTGATCTCCTCCGCGATCCTCTCTCTGACATTGGCAGTGGGGGTTGGGTTCTTGTTGAACTCTATCTCCAAGGTTGTCAACTGGTCTTGAGTGGCACGCTGTCGCTTCTGGTTCTTCTGCTGCTGAGTCAAAGTGCTCTTCCGAGGGGGTCTTCGCGACTGTGAAGATGTCGACGATGAATGCGGCTTTGAGCCCGAGTTGGAAGCAGCCGAGGATGTTGGCGAGGGCGACTGGCTTGCCTTGAGGGCAATGGATGCGCTCGTGGGCGCTGGAGTGGACAGCATGTCCAACGGCGAATGGATATGATCCGCAGCATTTGGTGCAACGGAACCTGACGGTTCCATCTTGATCGCGTCCATGGTGCGATGTCGTTTGTATATGTCTGCTTCTCTTTCTTTTGTCTTCTCTTAGAGGGATATAAAATTATCCCTGTCCAATCGTGAAATATAAAAAGGAGTGTCTGGATTGGTTTCTATTGATTGCACTTTTAGGGAGCTGAGACGCGCTTTAGTGATTGATAGCCGTGGATTCAAACACACGCGTGAGCTTGGCCTGATACAGCAGACAGACTCAGAGGCTCGAAGCTTGTAAACTTTTTTTTCTCGAAGGAGTGTCGTCCTAGTCCAAGTGTAGATGTAGTAAATGGAAAAGGAGGTATTCTGTTTCTTTGGTATCGTGAAGAGCGAGGGACCGTGCAATAAGTGTAGATGGATGGGGCAAGCGAGGCCTAAGGAACGAAATGGACCCGGAAAGGAGTGACGAGGTCCGTACTGGCAGGAATAGCAGAAAAAAATAAGTGAGCGTGTGGTAGAAGCAAGGAAAAACGGAGAGGGAAAAAAAAAGAGGAGAGGAATTATCGATTGAACGATAAGACCAACGACGATGAACACGATGGATGAATTCAGGTAGTGAAGGGGGAAAAGGGAAAGGAGGAGAGAGGGAAGGGGTGCGGCACATACTAAAAAACCCGAGCGGGTCTCTTGAGTGGGTTTGGGTTCAGGTTCCTGGATTCTGTGTGGGAAGGTGTCTCTACAATACCTAGGTACGCTACTGGCTGGCTGGCACAACTGGCCTGGGACTGGGCAGACAGACTAGGTAGGGGGGGGGGGAAGAAAGGAAAAGGGACCCCAACCAAGCCAACCAACCAGGCAATGGATGGCCGGCCATGCTCACGATGTACATGTAGCGCTCACTGGTGGAGAGACTGAGAAAGCAGCCCATAGAGGTCAGCACTGAGCCGCGCTTGGTGCAGCAGGGTCTGGTGTTTCTCAAAGGGGGGGCCAGAGACAGCACTGGGGGGAAAAGAAGGGAGGATTTCTGTTCGTCTGACTGGCTGGCATGCTGGCACGCACCACTCCAATCCATCCGTCGTCCATTCATCCATAGTACCTACATGATGTACCTGCATACATGTTCGTGGACGCACACAGGCAGTTAGGGAGAGGAAAAAAAAAAAAAAAACCCTACACGGCCCCCGTGTGTCTTGTCTTGCCTTGACACTCACCATCGAGGTTATGACTATATAGCCCGCCAATCCGACCTTTTAATTGCCGTGGATGGACGTGAAGTCGAATACTCGCAAAATGGCTAACAGACAGACATTCTGGCCTCGCAACCTCTCCTGCATAGCTTAGGAGAGTCGTTCTAGACAGACAAGCCAAGAGAGTGAGGCAATGGCACACAGCATACAGAACAGCTGCGGGGGGGCAAGCAATTGATTGGTCTCCTGTTTGCACCCTGGTCAAGTTGAGGGACATCTTCAGGTACCTGCATCAATGGGTACACTAGGTATGGACAGTGAGGCAGACAAGCCGAAGAGTGATGTTGTACTGTGCTCCCTCCTTCTGTCGCTTCTGCAACGCACTGCGCATAGTTTGTCCGCGGGTAAGGGTCTTCCCAATTTGGAATAAGGGTACAGCATAACCAGACTCTGCTGAACCCATCTGGATACATGAGCTAGACACTGTCCAACGCTCTACTGTGTACATAGTAAGCCCCCAGTGCCCCTGATGGCTCAAGGCGGGCAGAAGGGTGCGTAGTACAGCACTGGTACTGTGAAAGAGCGACAGGGTGTTTCCATTTCTGGTACAGCGGATTCGCAAGTGTTTTTTTTTTGTCGGATTCGATCGCTGGCCGCGGGTGGTGGACCGTGGGACAAGAGCAAGAAGGGATCAAGAGGGGAGCAAGCCAGAGAAGGGAGGGAAAAAAAAAAAGCAGAGGGGATCCTGGTCTGACCCAGCAAAACCCATCATTCGACGCCGTGAAACTGACGGCAGTCGGGGGATCTGCGATAACTACACCTACCTGAGGCCCAGAGCAGCACACTACCTTGAGGGCGGCGACTCTTGGCGGACTGATTGCGAGCATAGTGCGTAGTAGATGACTAATATTTGATGTTGGCCTAACTATTAGAGGACCACGTTCTGGCTCGAATAGTCGAGTAGTAGTTGCATATCCCATTGTATGGACGAGGAGAGTTTCGAGGCGTTGATGCGTTGAGAGAAAGCCAAACAACTCCCAGGGCACGGGAACGGACGAGAGAATTGACGGACCCAGGAACGAGCATGTCCAGCGATTGGGGATCCAGCCAAGGAACCAGGAGCGAGGAGCGACGGCAGAGCTAGCTGGGTAGGTACACTACGCTAACAGAGCAAGCGGATGACAGCCTCTAGCGCAGGGGCACGACGCGCCCCATGTTTCCTGCAAGTGCGTAGCCTCGCTTGTTCGGGTGTAGCGTCCCCTCGGTGCCAGGAACTGGCCTGCTGCTAGACGCTTCCCTAGCGTTACTGCTAGTACTGGATGCAACGGGTTGCAACCCCTGACACTTGTCCAACTTGGGAAGCCCCAAGACAGTGCGAGCCTGAGCGAGCCTGGGCCTGGCTTGGCCTCTTTTCCCTTTTTCTTCTTTTTCTTCTTCTCTTGTTCCTCTTTTTACTGTTTCTATCTCGTCCTCATCCTTCTCCCCTACCTAGGTAAGTACAGAGTACAACTCTTTGCCCAACTACGTACTATGTACTACTTACCCCCGGCGTTCAACTGACAACCTTTCTTTGCACCACATGACTGACTTACTGCTGGGTAGGGGAGCATGGGGAGGCACCGAGGATTAGGCATTGGCAGATGGATCCCGGTCCATTCAATCCTGATGGGACCTTCCGACATAGAAAAGAGTAGCATAGAAGTGTGCACGATCGTCGACTGGGCTTGATAACTGCATACCTACCAGTACGCACTCCCTGCGTAATGCACCCACCCTCTGCTGTACCATAGCCCATACGGAATACACAGTAGGTATCAAGGGCCACCATGAAGCCAGCACTGAGGCAGATAGGCAAATAGCACTTATGTATGCGTCGAACCTTCACTTGAGCTTTCTGTCAATATACCCACGATCATATGACTACTATATTTTGTCGAGGATACGTTTACTCCAGATTGCGTTATTATTCACTGCTAAGTATAGTTCCATGTGTGCCGTTGCCATCCCACGTATTGTGTGAAATGTATAAAGGACATACATACAGTAACGTATACTGCGCCTATTCTTTGACGCAGAGATCTTGCCTTTTGGATATACCAGGACAAAATGGAGGTACCTACACTAGGTAAATACCTACCTACCTGTAGGTAATGCTGGTATCTAGTATCTACAGTAGGAGCCCTGGAGGAGGGAACCGTTTCTGCTAGCGCTTTGCGCTAGAATGTATGGTACGATTTTCAGAGCCTCATACCGCCTTTCCATCATGATCAGAGGGAGCCCTATCCATGCGGGGATCGCCATGTAACATTCTGCGATTCTACCTTAGTCACACAGGCGTCAGGGCCCTTGCGCTTTTACGTTGTCTATCATCGTACAGTAGATGTTGTATGCGATCGACCACATAACAAGGAATTATACCTGCTAATCAGCGAAAGACACCCGCAGTATGCAGTTCCGGCAGTACTATGTACGTACTTTCTTTTTTCTTTTCTTTTTCGCTCTGCCATGCGTCTTGAATGATTGGTGGTGAGATCTACCCAACCAGACAGCGGCTGGTTGATAAAAGGATAACTGCACTTGCTGGCTTGCCGATGTTGACCGCGGACCAGCGGGGCTTCGCAGTCATGCACCGTTGGAAGAGGAACATGGATGGGCGGGCATCATCGATTGCGCCAGAGCAGACATGCATACCTACTCCAAAAAAAAAAAGCCATTTATCTATCTCACACGAGTGTGCTGCTTGCTCCCTACGTTTGCTAGGAAACCCATTCACACAAACAGAGGACACGGTTTGTTAGCTCGTTTGAGCCTGGGGTATAGAATAGTCGTACCGTGGCCCCTGGCATGGCCGGCTCGGTATCTTAAAGTATGCAAGGTTGGCGGGCTGTAAAGTGAAAAAGTCCAGAGAAGTTTCCTACAGGACAACATGCCGAGACACCGTCCAGCACAGATGTCGTAATTCGCACCACCTAGCTGTCTCTGTCGCGTTGCAAACCCCCTTGCAGAACCAGCGATGCGGCTGTATCTCCAAGCTGGGTGTTTGCTATCAGAGTAGGAAGTACTACATCGAGGTAGGAACTTGTCTGGCATTAGTGAAGATAAGCTCAGAAAACGGTAAAGGCTCCTCATATCTTTTTTTAGGAGCCGGCGCTCGGTTGCTCAGAACCATCGGCAAAATGTTTGATTGATGGCCAGGTGGCAGATGTGCAATCCGACTTCGCATACGCCGCCGCCTAGCCAGAGTCAAGAAGGCAAAGGGTGAGTGCATGGAGGATTGATCGAATGTGCTACGCCCAATCCATTGTGTATTTATAGAACTAAACAGTTTTGCTCCTGCAACGCATTTAGACATGAAAGAATTGATCGCATTGGATTTTAAGTAGCCGTTGGCCGTATGCATTGGTATTGTCACCAAAAACTCATCTGTTGGAGCTGCCTCGCCATTGAGCATGCTTTCTAAACCTGAAGAACCTGGAGGTGACGATACCTATCTCTATTTGGGCCAGACGTGATGCCTGACGGCCAATCAGAGAGAAAATGGCGGGGAGAAAAAAGAGAGATGCAAGGGACAATGCCGTTGACGCGCCCGCTGGCATCCCACCCGCGTGACAAGCACAGCAGGGCGTTGTCTGCTTGCATCTTTCGCATGAATCAAACAACGCGCAAAGTGCGAGGATAGGGGCCCAAGGTACGTCAGGCATAGTGATGGATGGCAAGGGTCAATCAAGCATGCTAACCTGGCTAGGTAGGCAAGGTAGGATCTTGTGAGAATTTCCCCGGTAGATCTGCGTTTTGCCGTACGAAATGCAGCGCTGTACACAACGGAGAGCCTGGAAGGCTGTCAAAGTGTCTGGCACCCCATGAGAATTAATAGTGCTT